CCCCCCCCCCCGACCTTCTTCCACCCAGGCCCAAGCAACGTGACTGTCGTGGACACCAACGTGCCCAGCCCGGCATTGGGCCGCACCTTCCGCTTCGTTGCGGGCTGGACGCCCGACGAGGGGTATGTCGGCTGGCTGACCGTGGGCCTGGAGACCGAGTGCGCGCTGGCGGTGCCCCGCTGCTCGGTGGGGCGCAGGAACTACGACGCCGTGCTCCGCCCCGTGGCCGACCTGGAGGCGCAGGTGGAGGAGGCGGGGCAGGAGGAGGCCTGCCCCTGGAGGCCCAGCGGCCTCGCCTGGCTCGACGCGAGGTCGGGGGAGTGCGGCATGCTGGAGCCGGGACTCCTGCCCCAGAGCCTGTTCACCGGCATCAACTACCTGACCCCCAAGGGCGTGCAGGCCAGCTGCAACGCCACCTTCTTTTGAATGCAGTGACGCCCCCGCCCCCGTGGCACCCTGTCCTGGCACAGGTGGGGAGGTTTTGTGCTGAGAGACCCCCCCACCACCCTTCTGTGGGCATGGTGCATAGCCATAAATTACTAAATTGTTCTCTTTTACCAGGCCGCGCACATGCATTCTGTGTCCATCCTGGCTGTGAAGTGGGGTCCCAAAAACATGGTAAGTTGGGCAGCCTCAACAACCCTCGCGCCCTCGCCATAGCCTTCGCGAGATAATGCCTGGACCAGGCTCCTGATCTGCTTCAATAAAAGGCTCCGCAATCCTTCTTCTACAAGAAATACTTGATTTAGCATTGCTCGACCTTCGCGCGAGCGGCCATGGACACCCCCTGGAGCCTGACTGCGGAGCAGCGGGCGGACACCGTGGCCCGCATCCGCGCAAACATGGCCAGCATGGCGTTCTTTGCCAAGACGCCCCTGAACGATGCGGAACTGAGCGCGGCGGCGGCCAAGCTGGAGGCCAAGGCATACGCTGTGGCCGGAGTGCAGGGCACGGTCACCAATTGCCACAGGCCCCATGCCGAGACACTGCAGGCAAGCGCAGCTCTGTGCTTGGTTTTCGGAAGGGGCATGAAGAGGTTGGAAACTGCACACTTCCCTCCCTCTGATGAAACCCGCAGGCCTACATCAGCAAGCTGAGCCAGCTGGTGCTGGAGCGACTGGCTGTGGGCGGTGACAGCTCTACCGATGCCTCGCAGGCCGCCGCCCAGCCCACTGGCGTGCGTGGGCTTGGGGGTTGAAAGTGCTGGGAGGGTGATGAGGGAGACGCCATGTACGCAGTAGGGAGACCATCGTAGTCCCACCAGGGCAGGAAATGCTGTCAGACTCGTCTGCCTCAGCAGGCTCCCCATGCACACTCAGAGTACCCTGGCCTCGCTTTCCTATGCTGCAGCATGTGGACCTGACGGGGACGCGCGAGTTCCTGACGGCAGAGGGCGCTGAAGAGGCCCTGGCCCCCATGCTGACGGGCACAGAGCCCATCACCCGGGTGAGGCTGCTGCTGGACAAGGCCTCGGAGCGAGTGGGACACGCATGATTGGTGGCCCTCACAGGGACGCCAGAGAGTGTGTTGCGGTCATGTTCGATCACCGTGTATGGCGACCATGCCCGCTGTCCGCCTCTTCCCACGGCACCCCGTTCCCAAATCAATGGCGCAGATCAAGTTCAGCACCAAGAGCTTTGGCGCCGACGCCTCGGCGGTGGCGGCGCGGGCCATCGCCCGTGTTGCCGAGACGCTGACGCACGCTGACATGGCGGACATCATTGCCGGCCGGCCAGGTGGGTGGCCCGCTGGGCAGCCTTGCACGCCGCAAGGATGAGCGGGCGGATCCTACCATGGCGGGGTCGGCAGGCAACGCTGGCTGGCGGCGCAGACTCGTGTGGCTGTCCTCCGCGCAGACCTGCACATCATGGACAGTGCCTCACACGCTCCCACCACCACTCCACACCCCGCAGAGGAGGAGGCGCTGCGCTCGTTGCGCACCATCGCCGAGGCGCTGTCCCGCGCCCCGCTGGTGGAGCTGGACCTCTCTGACAACGCACTGGGGGAGAAGGGCATCCGGGCCGCCGCCGCCGCCTTTGCCAACCAGGTGAGTGGGTGGCAGCCGGGTATGCTTGCGCAGGGTAAGGCATGATCGGCGGGGGGGTGGGGGGGGTGGGGGGGGGGTGAGCATGCCCTCTGCGCATTTGGACCTCACCGCCGATTCGCGGATCCCACGCTCTTCGCTCCTTTCCACACCAAACCTCTCCCTCTCTTTCCCGCGCCCCCCTCCTAACTCCTCATGTCAGACCACCCTGGAGCGCCTTGCCTTTTGGCAACGTGGGCTGCTCCGTGCACGGCTGCGCGGCGCTGGACGAGCTGCTGCCGGCCCCCGCCGCGCTGCGCGCGCTGCGCCTGTACAACAACATGAGCGGGGACGAGGGAGCGCGGCACATCGCCGCGCTGCTGCGCCGCGCCCCCGCCCTGCAGGAGTTCTCCATGGTTTCCTCCCGCGTTGGCACCGACGGCGGCGCCGCGCTGTTTGCCGCGCTGGCAGGCCGGGGCGACACCCTCCTGTCTTTGGACCTGCACGACAACCCCATCACCCACGAGGCCCTGCCCCAGCTGCTGAACCTGCTGGCAGCCGCGCCCAAGCTGCGCGTGCTCAACCTCACCGACACTGGCCTGGGCGACGCTGGCACGGCCGCGGTCCTCCGCACCCTGGGCAAGGTCCAGCCGCCGCTGGAGGTGAGTCATCCTTTTTGGAGGGTCTCTGGGGCCTGGACATCGAGGGTGGGGTGGCCAGCACCCAAGAGACGGGGGCGGGAGGATGATGCAGGGGTGGACGTCCTGGGACATGGTCTGAAGCTGCGACCAACAGATCACTGGCCGTTCAGGTTCCCACATCATTGGCTTCGATTGTCGTGCGCCCAGCCTTGTGCTGCCTCTCGGGGCACGGCGTGGCCATGCAGGGATTGGTGGCGGTCATCGCCTGAATCCTGGCAGTCTCATTTCTCCACGCCCCGCCACCCCTCACCAATCTCCCCAGTCGCTGCACCTGGCCCTGAACGAGCTGGCCAGGAGGAGTGCGGGCGCGCTGGCAGAGGTCCTGCCGCACCTGACCTCCCTGAGGGAGCTGGACCTGCGTGAGAATGAGCTGGGCAGCCGCGGCCTGGTCCAGGCAGCCCGGGTCGGTCTTGGCAGGGGCTGGCTGGCAAGGATCCTGGGGATCGTGAGGGGGATGATCCGGCCTGACCTGGGAGGGGTGCCGGCCTGCCCACCCCAGATCACCTGCCCCCTGTCCGCCTCCTCACTGTTCGTTACCCTCCTCGCACAGGGCATCCCCCGCCTGGCAAGCCTGGAAAGGCTGGACCTGAGCGCCAACCAGTCGCGGCGTAGTGGAGCCCTGGCGGTCGCCGACGCGGTTTCCTCCCTCAAGTCCCTGATCTTCCTGGGGCTGGATGAAAACGAATTCAGCGAAGAGGCCATCGCTGAGATCGAGGTGCGGGGTTGGTGGGAGGGGTGCTTGGGGCGGCGGGCGAGGCTTGCATGGCGGGCGGGCGTGGCGCTGAGGACCCCGCCTCTCACCCATGCTGGGCTGGGCGAGGGACCTCCTGGATCACAACAACGGTCGTCACGACCTCCATCCATGCGCATGGTGCAGGGCATCCTGGCGCAGCATGAGCAGTCTAGGGTGCTGGGGCCCCTGGAGGAAAATATGGAGCCCTCGGACGATGAGGATGAGACTGAGGAGGAGGACGAGGAGGACGAGGACGAGGGCATGGCGGATGGGGAGGACGATGCGCTTGCGGCGAGTCTGGGCGGCCTGGGCCTAAATTGATGTGTGGCAGGTGTGGGCCTGTGAGGCAGCAGCTATCGGTATCGCATGCACTTGAAGAGTGGTATGAGCTGGGGAGTGTGCAGGGGTATGTGGTGCACTTCAAACAGGGATAGGAGTGGGTGGGGTGAACTCTTCTTGTCCAGATTGCAATCTGAGGCCAGCACCAAGGACTGCAACAAGGGGAGGCGAGGGGGACAGGTGAGGGCTCATACTTGCATACCAGTATGGAGCACAAGGAAACTCTTGACGCCCACCCAGGAGACAACCACGCGAACATGAAGTCAGGTTCCCAGATAGAGTCGGCATTGTGGAGGCAGAAGCCTGCACTCCGATGGGTTGCCTTGGGACAATCATCATTCTTCAGATACATTTCCTAGAAAGCCAGGGGAGGTGCACATCCCCTCAAGCTCAGCTTTCCCTTCCAACATACCCGCAGTACTCAGATCATAATGTGCTCAAACTCTAGCTTCGTGCACTGGAGAGCATGACCCCCATCCATCAATTTTCAGCATTCATGAGGTCAGCTGCACATCCTGCAGGGGCCTTTGGGAAACGAGCTCCGATTGAGTGCCTGGACCGTGCGTGCAGTGGGTGGACCATCCACCTCCAGCTATCTCAGAATCGCCGGTCGGTATGTCAGGCAGAATTCACCAAGTTACTCTGTGTCTCATCATGCTGGGACTAACCGTAAGGGAGTGAATTCTCATCATCCATACCAACGAGACAGCAAGTGCATCCGAGTGTACTTGCCTGGATAGTGTGCCGGTGGAGGTGGGTGACCCGTGCGTGCGCAGCCGCTACTTGTTGACAGGCTCTAACCAATGGCTAGTCAAGGCCATTATAAGCTTGCTGAGCGAAAAATTCCCCCGCGATTAATAATCAGCATGTCAAGATTGTGGATATTTTCAACCCCATCGTGCGGTCCTGACCTTCATCCGGACAGTCACGAGGGAGATCATGAAGTGGCTTTCGTTAAAAAGTGAAAATCTGGCGGCCTCGAATCATCCTGGAGCAGTGTATGCATGCTCTTACCGACACCGGTAATGGTGGGTGTGTCGCTGGACCATGACTTCCGAGAAAAGGAAAGTGCGCCTCAGGTCCAAATCACGACCCGTCCCGTCCATACAAAGTGGGGTCCCCAGGGGGCACATGACATGCGCGGCAGCAACCATCCCGATTCCTCCAAGCAAATTTTGTCACATTCGATTGTCAAACCTTGCTCATCGAGGTGGTGCACATCGTACAGTTGTCGCGCGTAGAGCCAGCATGTACGCCATGCATGCCGGCACAACGCCGAGGTGTCAGGCATGGATTCCAGCCCTGCCCGGCTCGAGGGCACCATCGGCCCTCGCAATGCACCGCGGCTTCATGCCCTCGCGCTCCCTGTCCCGGCGGGACTTGGGCATCATCACCACGGTCTCAGCCCTGACCTCCGGCATCCGCCCCTCCGTCGCTGAGGTGGGTGGGGCCTTGTGAGGCCTGGGCTCCCTTGGGCCGTGTCGGGAATAGGAAGGCTGCTGGGCACTTCTCATTGCCTGCATCTACCATATCTCTTTACCTCTCATGCCCTGCTTACCTGCACTCAGGAGCCTGCCAGCGACAGTAGGAATGCTGCAGAGCATGCTCCCGGCAGCAAGGTATCGTATGAGATTGACGCCCATGGCCGAGAAAGGCTGGCCCTCCGCCTTGACGGCTGGGACACCTGGAAGTGGAACGGTCATAGCATCAACTACCTCTCTGCAGGTGGCGGCATGGGGGAGGAGACGATGTGGCTGGGGTACACTGTGCATACACTTTCTCATGATCATCCAAATGATTTGGTTATGTCAGCATTGTGGCTCACAGCAGCAGCAAAACAATGTCCTGATGCATTGGTAGACTTGCCGTGCCTGCTGCCCCCTTCTCGATCTTCCCTCGACCTCGTGGGAGAACCGCTCCCTCAAAAATCCACCCAGGCACTGAGGGCCCGGCGGTCCTGCTGGTTCATGGATTTGGGGCCAGCGCCTACCACTGGCGCTACGTCGTGCCGCAGCTGGCGCGCAGCTGCCGCGTGTTCGCCATCGACCTGCTGGGCTTCGGCTGGTCCGACAAGCCCCTGGTCGACTACTCCGGGTACAACGTTTGGGCCGACCAGTGCGCCGCTTTCCTGCAGGAGGTGGTAGGCGGGCCGGCGGTGGTGGTGGGCAACTCCATGGGCGGCTTCAATGCCCTCAACATGGCCGCCCGCACCCCGGACCTTGTCAGGTGGGGGGCCTTGATGCGAGGGAGGGGGGAAGGGAGGGACTTGAGTTGTGGCGAGTGTGGAGGAAAGGTGTAGGCAGGGGTGGGGAGGGAGCAATCCAGGATGAATTCCTGGTGTCTCAGTGAAGGTGCCAAGTTTATGTTTCCTTTGCGGTCACAGGGAGAGGACACTCCCATCCCATTCCATCTGATGTACTGTCCACCCCACCTCCTTCCCCCCACCCTACTTTCTTCCCATTTCTGCAGTGGCGTGGTGCTGATGAACGCAGCGGGCCGCTTCGATGCCGGGTCTGCGTCGGTGACGCCCGTGGCGACGCCAGCTCAGCGCTCGTTGTGGGCCGGGCTGCAGGACACGGCGGGCACGTTCCTCAAGCGCCGCGCCATCTACCTCTCCTTCCTAGTGGCGCGGGACCCGCGACGCATCCGCTCCGTCCTCAAGCAGGTGTGCCTTGGCAGGGAGGGGGGGTGTGAGGGATCCCTTCGGGACACTCCCAGACCACTTTGTTCTGGGCACAGCACGCCCTCGACAAACTCCTCCCAGAAGATCCTGCCTTTTCGTGGGTCTCACACCCCTGCTCCCCCTCCGACGCAGGTGTATGTGGGCCAGGACAGCATCGACGCTGATCTGGTGACGTCCATTGCCACCCCTGCCCAGAACCCCAACGCCGCCGAGGTGTTCTACCGCGTCATCACCGCCTCTGGGGAGAGCATGAACAGTCTGCTGGGCCGCCTGCACAAGGGGACGCGGGTGCTCCTGCTCTGGGGATCCAAGGTGCAGGCTGGGAGGGCCATGGGCTGCTGAGAGCTGAAGTTTGTGAGGCGTTTTGCCTGCCATGCGACTCAGCAGGCCACCCAGCTGCTGCGTCCAGTCAGATCGCGGCTCACGGCACCCTCCTCAAATCCCCTTCTGGTGCAGGACCCCTGGTGCGTCCCCGCCAATGCTTCACGCATCATGGCCCTGTACCCCGAGGCAGAACGGGTGGATCTGCCCAGCGGGCACTGCCCGCATGATGACACGCCAGACCTCGTCATCCCAGAGCTGCAGCGCTGGGTGGCAGGCCTTCGGCAGGCGTGACAGCGCTGGGGAGATGCGTGCCAGGCCAAGCACATCCAAATTTTGAAACCAGTAATGTATTCCTACATTGAAACCCCCTTCTGAGCGTGATGATCAAAAGTATGTACCTTTCAGACATTCCATGTGCAAGGACGGACACGCGCGCCTGACGAATCACCCTGGCCAGTTGTAGATCGGTCGAATCTATGCATGCATGATGTAGCCAGCACCACGATGCCCCTCGTCCCTGTGCGATTACTTGTCCGGTGCACAGTTTGCATGTGATCAGGCGTTTTTTTGCCGGGCGGGCCTGGACAGCGAGCATGGCGTCAAACTGGTTTGACCGGCTCAGGACCGGGCTGGGCATGGAGGTGGAGGAGCCGGAGCCTGCCGAGGTGGGCAACCAGACCCTGCTGTCGCAGCTGGATGAGGCCACCACGCTCACGCGCACCCAGAGGGCGGTGGGCTTTGCACTGTGTGCGGGGCTGGGCCTCCTCCTCTCATTCCTGGCCCCGCTCTTCGTGCTCCGCCCCGTCAAATTCGCGATGGTGTACACCCTTGGAAACCTGCTCGCCATTGGGAGGTAAGCGCCAGGACCGGGTGGCAGCGGCTGGCGGGGGCTGGAAGCTAGGTTAACACCCCCCTAGTATGGGGAGGATGGATGCAAACGATGGCTCGGCCCTTCAGGGAGTCTGGATTCTGCTGAGAGCAGAGGCAGCACGCCAGTTCTTCCTCCCCCCCTCCCTTCCCTCCCGCAGCTCCTTGTTCTTGGCAGGACCCTCCAAGCAGTGGGCCAACATGGTGCGGTGTGCGGGACCATACGAATGGTGGAGGGTGCACATATGGGCGCCGGCCAGAGGGCAGAGCTTTGGTGACATCATCATGGCATGACCCAGGGCCTGGTGCCTGAGCCTGCGGGGACGAGGATGGCCCTGGTCTTGTATCGCAGCCCGCCCTGCTTTCTCCCCTCCGTGCAGTGGCACAGCAAGCGGAGGCTGGCCACGCTCCTGTACCTGGTGAGCATCTTCGGCACGCTCGCCTCTGCCCTGGCTCTGCACAGCGCCCTCCTCTGCATCCTGTTCATCGTGCTCCAAACCTGCGCGCTGCTCTGGTGCGCCGCGTGTGTGTCCTGGCGGAGCTGGCCGATGCGACGAGGGGAATGTATGACTGCGATTCCTGCCTGGCGGTTGTGGCTGTGGCGAGGTGTGCATGCAGATGGGGCCTTCCAGTCCCACTGTCCAGCTGTCAAACACAAAAATCCCCCCTCCATCCAACCCAGGTACTGCCTTTCGTACATTCCTTACGGCCACGCCATGGTCATGCGCTTCGCCGGCCGCCACTTTGACGAGGCGGGGGGCCAGTGGTGAGACACGCGACGCAGTGCATGCAGTCTCACGCTTGTTTTACTATCATACCGCTGTACATTCACCTTCCAGACATCTAGGAGGGTGGCAAGCATCACGAGGGCGTCACGCAAACACTTGAATGGTACAAAAAGGTTATACATGGCCGTGCGGGTCTCTACTTGAGAGTCCTGACCAACTGCAGTCCAAAACTGAGCGCCTGAGTGCCCGATCGGCTCTTGCAACCACTCATAATGCTCAGGCCGCGCGGGCCAGTTCCCGCCCCACCTCCGCCTCCAGCTGCGCAAGGAGCGCCCGGCACTCCTCCCCCTCCCCGAAGGCCGGCCAGGCCACGCCCGCCGCCACCACCACCGCCGCCGCCTCCCGCGCTTGGCCCAGCGCGCGCAGCGCCTCTGCCAGCCTCACGCTGGCAGTGGTGAAATCCGAGGGCGCGCAGGCCACAGCCGCGCGAGCGTCCTCGGCCGCCCCCGCCGCGTCCCCCGCCGCCAGCCGCGCCCCTGCCCGATTGCTGAGAAGGAGGTGCGCAGTGGCGCGGCTGGCGGGCAGGTCCAGGGCCTGGGAGTAAAGGCGCACCGCCCTGCCGGGCTGGCCCGCGCGCGCCGCCGCGTTGCCCGCGCAGCGCAGCTCCACCGCGCGGAGGGAGGCCCGGTCCATGGGCAGGGTGGTGAAGCCCTGCAGGGCGTCCAATAAGCGGGCGGGGGAAGCCAGGTGGCTCAGCACCCGAGGCGGCGCCCGGGGGGCGATCTGCATTAGCACCGCGTTTGGGCCGGCGCCGCACTTGCCTGGAGAGGACATGGTAAAGGCATCAGGGGTTAAGGAGTCTGGTCGATATGCTCGTGGATGCAGAGGGTGAGAAGGAAAGTTGACGATCTGGAAATGCTCCTCGGCGACTGCGTGCCTCACGCCCAGAGAGGTTGCTCCTTGCCGCATCACCCCCTTTTGCCCATGCACTCACTCACCGAGACACCCGGATTCCGTAACCCGCAGGCCCACATTTGGAAGCTCCCGGGCCATCTGCACTATCTGAAGACTACCCTGGCGCCGACACGTTGTATTCGTGCACACTTTGAGGTGGAATGTCTCCTGCGCCGCGCCGCTCCCACTGCTGCTCGGCGGGTGGTTGGGGGTCTTCGTCGAGGCCAGGACCCTCATCCCTCGAATAGCCCAAGGCTATATCAGAGGGTGGGATAAAAATATTATACAAGATTCGTCGGTGCAAGACTCTTGACCCACCGTGCCGGAGGAATGTGATGGCCATGCGATTCGGATGCTGTCCTTCCGGCATCGGCAATCGGGGCACCTTCTTCGGGGCACCTTCCCTTCCCTGCCCCTCCCCTGTACACCACCACCACCCATCCAAACAGACAACATGAAGTTCACAAACAGACCGATCACAGGGGGAAATCAGTGCTTGATCACAGGAACGGAGTGGATTTCGGTCATTGATGAATCAACGGACCTGAGCATCATCTGGGTGCCAGCTCGACAGCGCGGGCCCCGGTTCAGTCCTCCTCCACCCACCTCCCCCCAAACCAGCTGCGATGCGGGGGCGTATGGCGCGCCGCGGTCGGGTAGCTGGCGGGGTGCACCACCTGGTCCTCCACGTCCGCGTGCAGCGTGGAGGTCTGGTGGAAGGCGCCGCGCCCATGCTCCTGGGCGCCGTGCCCGTGCCCATGCCCGTGGTGGTGGTTGGGGTGGTGTGGGTGCACAGGGGAGTGGATGAGGTGCGGGTGAGGCTCCAGCCAGCGGTGCGCAAAGCGGACGTGCCCCGCCGCCAGCTCAGCGGCGTCCGACGTGTGCTTGTACACCCGAGGCTGGCCGGCCTGGGGCGCCCCGTTCAGGTGCGGCAGCTTCCCAGCCACAGGGTCTATGTCTGTCGGTTGTTGGTGTGGGGGAAGGGAATGGGGGCATGTTGAGGAGTGGGAGTGTGGGGTCAGTCTCGGCAATCCATCAGGAAAGGGTGCAGTGCGACGTGGTGAGGAGCCCCTGTCCAGAGGGCCCGCTGTGTGTGACATCGAGACTCCGGGCGCTGCATGCGAACTTCTCCCCACTCGTCTCCATCGCCGGCCACCTCTGCACACACACGCACGCACACCCTCCCACATGCCCACCATCCATGCCAGCGGCCATGTCCGCGCCGTCGCAGCTGCCCGAGGCACGGGAACAGGTGGGCGAGGCCGGCACCAGCCAGGGCAGGGCCGCGAAGCGCGCCTCCGGGTTGCTGTAGTGCAGCTCCCTCAGGTTGCGCTCGATGGTGGCGCAGAAGCTGCCCAGGGGCAGCACCCCGAAGGGCTCCTCGATCTGCACCCCGATCTCGTCGATGCCCAACATGAGGTAGGCAAACAGGCCTGACAGCAGGATGGAGACCCAGGAGTAGGCGGCCCAGAGGGTGAAGGGCATCATGATCAGCCAGATCATGAGGAAGCGGGAGGTGTGCCTGTGTAGGTGTGTGAGGTTGGGGGGTGGGTAGGTGTGAGGGGGGAATGGAGGAGGTGGGGGTCACGCAAAGGGCGCAGAATGGGCTATCAGGGCAGAAACCTTGCCAACTGCCGCTGAGAGCAGGGACGGCGTTTGCCCAGGCAGGCGTGTGCCTGCTCAGGAAGGCACATGGGGCCGGCCGACAATGCATGACCCGGAGGGAGCGCCAGCCAAGGCCAGGACCCCGGTCAGAGTAGGTAGGGGGTCAGGTCCCTCCTCTCCTTCCCTCACCCCAAGTTCCATCCCTTCCTCCTCCTCCAACCCAGCCAGCCCCTCACCTCGTATAGGACTGGGGGATGGGGGTGCGCAGGATGCGCTCGCAGCCGCCGATGCAGTCCTCGAAGGCGGTGAGGTTGGTGTCCAGGCGCTGGCGCAGCTGCGGGTCCAGCCCTGCGGCGGCCACCACCTGGGAAAGCGCGGCGAGGACGAAGCAGGGGCGGTGTGTGGCGCCCGTCAGCGCATCCACCTCGTCCCGCGTCAGGATGCCCTCCAGCTCCGACTCCAGGCGGTTGCCCTCCCGCAGGTGGGCCTTGACCACGTACGGCAGCGCGATGGTCCAGAGCACCGCCGCCTCGCGCAAGCGCTTGGCGTCTTCGGGGAAGAAGGCGAGGCACTGGCGCACGAAGTCACGGGTGCGGTTGGTCAGGGAGCCCCACAGCATGCGCGCCTGGCGGGGGGGGGTGATGTGAGGGTGGCATGGGGTTGTGTGGAGGGGGGGCTCAGGCGACAACAGGCAGCGAGGCCTCGTTCGTCCCGGGGAACCAAAAGGGACAAGGCACGTGGCAGCCCCGCAGCAAGGGCGCACTGGGTGCCTACGAGGGGCTGGAGGTACCCCCCTGGAGTTGCCTGGGCCCCCACCCCGCCTGCCTGCTCGCGACTGGACCAGCGGCGTGTCCACCCACACCAGCACGAGCACTCTGTCGAGCCTCACCTCCCACCAGCGACCATAGGCCGAGTTGGTGCGGAAGACGAGCAGCAGGGACAGCGCAAACGCCGTCAGCTGGAAGCCCTGGCCCAGCGCCAGGGTCACGTGGGGCCATTGTGCAGGGAGGCGGTGCTCCTGTTGGCAGGCGGGAGGGTGAGGGTGATGCACACGCGAGAGGCACAGGGCAACAAGTACAGGTGAGACAGGTGCCTGAGCTGCAGTCAGCAAGCACCCCAGTGTGTTGCATGCCCCTTCCTCCCCCGTCGACCCACAACCCTCCGGGAGTTTTAGGGTGGGCAAGCCCACCACCCACCCACCCCTCAGCCTCCCAGCATGCTCCAACCTTCACACCTTGAGAAGCGTCTCATACACCCCGACCAGCGTGGAGATGAGGGTGACGGCCGTGATGGGGGGGATGAGGGACCTGAAGATGCGGCTGGCGAAGATGAGGGCCAGGTGCCGGGCATAGCGGGATGGCTTCCTGTGCACCGCCCAGTCAGCATGGGTGAACACCCTGTGCCCACTCTGTGCATGGCAGCATGGGGGAGTCCCGGTAGGTCGGGGGCATGGGAGAGCGCACGTGCCGTGGGCCTCAGGACGCCAACTTCACAGGACGGCCGACACCGACATCACCCCTGGTCCCGGATGGCAGCCGACGCGACGGATTGCACACCCCACTCACATTCCGCCGGTAGACATCCGCCTCGTTGTCATTCTCCGCGCTCTCCAATAGTTTTTTGAAGCGGCCACGGGGAACAAAGTAAGAGGACACGGCGCGCTTCAATGTCTTGCTCACCGAACGCTGTGGCCGGTCTGGCTCGTCTAGGCTAGTCGCCAGTGCCCCCGGCATGTCGGGGGCGCTGGCCCACCCAGCCCCGCCGAGAAGAGGTCGAAACAGCCCCAGTTTGACGATGGTGTGGGAGGGAGGTCCTCGACGAGCCCCAGGGCGACCTGGCCTCGGAAATGTGGAAAATGACGGGCGGCACGTAACCTTGGTGAAGATGAGGGGCAGCCCTAGAGTCTGAATGGCAAGATTGAATACACTAAAAAACTCTATGTTCGTGCTAAAAACAAGAAGAAATTGCTCTGCTTGGGAATCGGCTGTACGGAGTGTGGATGTGTGGGTTCTGCACCCATTACGCATGTGTTTTGAAGCCACCGTCAGTTTTGCACGGGATCTGATCTGTCAACCACCCCCCAAGAAGCCTTCGTCCGAGGGATTCCCATGTTGGGGGACATTGGAGATCCTTGCATCAAGTATAGGATTGTCCAGCAAAACCATGCTTGTTTTCAAGGTACATGCTATGCTGGAAGGATAATATACGTGGTCTCAGGAGCAGAAGTCCCATCATACCATAACGCTTGCCTTCCGATTCAAGTGATCGCGACGAAAAGGACCAGCTGAATGTTTCGTTAGTGAGGTGCAACCCTTCCCTACTCGGGTTCCGATGCCACGACCCCCACGGGCTCGTGCCGTCTCCTACGCTGTGGTGCCACGCAAGCATGCACATCGCACTCGACACGGTTAGACTGGGTCATCAATGCTCGGTAACCACGTGTTTTCTGGTGTAATTCTCACGAGTATGGCTTTTTAGTGACTGTTTGGTGTTTCGGTTGAATCTTGTGCGACCATGGCGACCACAGCATCGGCAAACCCCACTCTTCCACATTCGGGTGCCCAAAAGGACCAGGATACAGGCAAACCATTCACCTTGTGAGTTATAACAGGAAATTAAGAGTTTATGAATCCAACCAGAGACCTTCCTGTCGAGTTGTGCTGGAATCTCAGTTCAGTCCCACCCCTTGCACTCACCCAGCCATGCGGCCGTGACGTACGGCAGCCCTGACGTTGCGCGAATGGTACGGGATGCCCTCGCTGTAGATCCAGAGGTATGTTCACGTGCCAGATGTGGATGTGGGGTTGTATACGGCCAGGCGTCAGTGTGTCTACCCTGGCACCGAGCTTGCCTATATCGCTCAGCTCTCCTGACACTCATCTGTGCAGCTAAGACCGGACGTTGCCACGCGAGAGCTGACGGTCGTCGGGGACGACCTTGTCCTGTAGGTTTAGAGCAGCCCTTTGTTCTTTGTGAGGGGTGTGTGGTGGAGTGGGGCGTACAGGGATTTGCAACAGGGAGGTGCAGAGATTACTCTTGCTGCACTCCAGCTCCCGCTGCTCCACTCCTCCAAACCCCCTGCATCCAATCCAGATATTTTTCGGCAGTGGACGCCAGGACGCTACGGGCCTCCGTAGGGACGTTCTGCGACTTGCTAGCCCTGGCCACAAGGACAGCCGAAGCCTTCCCACCCCTTGAACCCCGCTGCATCGAGCCGTAGACAGAGATCGAACCCTTTTCCAGCACCTTGCATCCTTTACACGTCTATCTACTCAACTTCCGCCCATGCCCTCCTGCTGCATCCTCCATCCTACTCTCTGCTGGTACCAGCATTACACATATTGTTACGCTGTTGAACAGTGCGGTGCATCAGGCCTTCAGTGTGCAGGTGGGCACCATATATACCGGCAGGTGCCAGTACCTATTCCTGATTCCTTTCCAGATGCTGCCGTCTGAGGTGTCCATAGGCATGGCCCTATACTGCGTCTCCAGCCCCAGCCTACGTGGTGGAGCGCTGGGTGATTCTAGGGGGTGGGGCGAATACAGCCGCGTCGTTTACCCCTGCCCAAGCGGTGCGGGGCAGTACGCCAACGCAGGCCACCCCTCCCCACCCTGGACTCGCCTTGCCAGCTCGAGCTTGACGACCTCCCCCTGCACCATGTTGAAGAAGATGTTGTCCGGGCAGAGGCCGTTGAAGAAGGAGTAGACGCCCCCGGGACTCAGCAGCCTAATCAGGGACGCGGGGTTCAGGCGCATGGTAGGGCACGAGTGGCCCCTCCTTGATCACCACTGCCGGCTCGTCACAGTGCCACGCCTGAACACCATGCTTCTCGGGCGTGGACCTCACATCTCACCAATCAGGCGACCGTCCCCAGCTTCGTTGTGAGGTTTCCTCATCCCTCCACTTGGGGAAAGCCTGGCCCGCGGATCAGCAGCAGCCCCCCCACACAGCCCCTCCCCGGGCTACTCACCTCGGCAGGTGGGCGTGAAACTCCCTCATGTCCTCCGCGTACTCGCCGTAGGTGTCGAAGAAGACGCCGTCAAAGGGGCCCAGGTCGGCGATCACATCCTGCCACCGACCTGGGACCACGGACACCCCGGGGCGGTGGGTCCAGCCCCGCGCCGCCATGTGCGCCAGGACGTCTGGGTGGGCCTCGACGATGGTGTGCCGGGCCGGCGCCAGCTCGGCGATGTAGCCGTCGATGATGCCGAGGCCAAAGCCCACGTTCAGCACCCGCGCCGCCCTGCCCTGCGCCGGGGGGGGTGGGGGGTGGTTGGGTGCCCTGGAAGGGGCAGATTTGGGGAGTCTGGGCCGCGCTTCAAGCACAGGCGTGGGGTGTGTGCGCTGGGCCCGGCAACGGTGGTCGTGCTGCCGGCTTGAGGCCCTGGGAGCCGGCTGACAGCCCCGACCTCCGGCCCTCCACACTCAACTCCATCCCTGCAACACGGGCAGATCCATCCAAGGCCGACCTTGGCCGCGCAGAGGATGCGGGCATGCTCCCTCATCAGCGGCGCCTCCCACGTCATCATCACCGCCTCGCCCTCGGCGTCCACCAGCTGGCCGTCGCGGTACGTCGCTCTTTCCTGCAGGTACCCCTGCGGGCCGGGGGCGGGGGCGGCGCTGGCGCGGCGCGACGCCGCGCCCAGCACCAGCTCGGCACGCACCGCCCAGTCCAGCAGCTGCCGCACGACTTCCACGTGCCCGGACCCGGAGGCGTACTCCCCCGCGCAGCAGCCGTCCTCGTCCAGCTCGTGCCAGGGCGCGCCGGCGGCTGCGGCAGGCGATGCAGGGGGGAATGTCCCGTGAGAAGCCCAGCTGGGACCCCGGATCTTCACGCTGAGAATGCCTCCCCACCCCGACCGTGCCACTCACACAGCAGCGCAGCGACGGACTCTGCATCTCCAGCGGCAGCAGCGGCCATCAGGGGGGTCTGGCCGCCCTGACCCTGGTGCCCAGGGTCAGCTCCCTGGTGCAGGAGGGCATGCACCTGGGAGGCATCCCCTCCTCCGGCGGCAGCGAGCAAGGCAGCCCCTGGGAAAGTCATGGGACGTGTGAGCAGGTGGAGTGGCCTTCGAGACCCAATTCCACTCCAATACATCGTCTCTCGGGTGCAAAGCTTGATGCTCTCGACCGTGCCAGACACGGGACCCCCTCACCCGTGTCCTCCGCCATCGACAGGGCGGGCGAGGCGCCGAGTCTCGCCCTCTATTACTGCGACGGTAGTACCGACGCCTTGAGAGAATCAGGAAGATATTTGCAGTACTCCACGGAGATGTGTTTATACCTCAGACTGGCCGTGGCTTTGGGGCGAGACGACTGCCTGGTTCGCGCCTGCGCCCCCACATCTCCAAGATCTAACTCAAGGATGCGGGCATCAAATTTAGTCATATCCCGATGGTATAAGTACGTGCCACATCCTGGATATGCTGTGTGACCCGCTTCACGCGTATCGTTCATGGCTACACAGTCATCGCGTCGCCACTAGGGTTTCGGCAGCCACTAGTGGCCAGGAGAGTGCTCGTCCCGAGCCTCCGCCAAAAATGCGCGCCTTCATAAGCGTCGTCGTCAGAATTCGACGCTCCGAATGCCGGGAGCGGGTCAAAGCGGTTTCCTGGTCGAAACGTGAACCAGGGGCTGGATTCCTGTTGGTATTTGGCGCCGGACTTGACACCTTCCGACGCCTCCAAACACGGTTCCCAAGATGCCCGTCACAGCGGTCTTCACCACCCGCAGGTGACGCCATTGAGTTCAATAGTCAATATTATAACCTTTTTGGTGGGGAATTCCCCCAAGCAAGGGTGGTGAATGTTTACGACGATGCTTATGTCATCACATGATCACCTTCGAGACACGCACAGCACGATTCGGGACAACTTCGGCACTGGAATTAAGTTCTGAGCGACGAGATCAACAGCAAACAATTATACCACACATTTAATGGCTATTGCTATCGATCAGGAGGTATCGAGCGCTTCCTCTGGCTTGGCGATGCAGGCAATCAGAACATTCGTGGTTACGGGCGCTAACCGCGCCATCGAGCTTGAAGTGAGTGGCGCCTAGTGTCGCGGTGTTTGGCTGGGTCTTGAGTCAGATGGTCATCCAAACGGGCTGTGGTAATTGTCGATCCACATGTAAAGTGACACTTCGGGTATCCGAAGTTACATCTGTAATGTCCCCGGTGCCCTGACCCCGCGGCCCCACCGTGTTGTTGTCGCAGTGGGTCCGCCAGCTTCTGGTGCGCCCGGGCAATCGCGTGCTGGCGGGAGTGTCGGGCCAGAATGAGTCGCAGGACGTACAGAAGATGGTCCCGGGCATCGAGGTGCTCCCCCTGGAGGCTGGCGACGCCGGGTCCCTCAACGCCTGGGCCGATGAAGTGGCCAAAAAAACTCCGCACATCGACGTAAGTGAGGAAAGAACGGGAGAGGCAAGCTCCTGCCATCCCCAACTTCTCCATGTGCTTGACCGAAATAGCACGACGATAGACAGTAAGCATCCCCTCTCATGTGGATTTCCTTCAGGTCCTGATACATAATGCTGGTGTGGCAACGTCCCTCCCAAACATAAGGTTGAACACCTCCGACTTCACTGTGGGGGATTTGTCCTCTGGCTCGGAGAGCACAATGCCAATCGTGCAAGCTCTGCACAGCAGGAGTCTTTTAGGAGGCATGGCAGGCAGGACGCTCCTGGCAAGAGTGTGCAGTCAAGGTGAGGGGATTTCTGGGCTTATACCATCAGTGTGATGGCAGGCGTGCGGCGTGGTCATGACACGTCAGATCTGCAGGGTACTGCTGAAAGAGGGTGCACGTGCATGTCCCTACTGCTTGTGACCGAGGTCCCCAATCTCCCTTCAAGCAGATGTGGCATAGCAGGCGAAGGGCTAGCTGGCCAATTGCAATTTCATCTTCCAGACTGTGCAGGTGATGGTGAAAAAACTTCCTAAAAAATCCAATAAACAAATATATTACTCGGAAACCTGGAAGACTTGACCAGGAGTTTTGCCGAAGCCATTGTTGAAGTATTATCATAAGGTGTAGTATTATCGATGTCACCCCAGTGTGGGCCACCCCTCTCCCCTGCCCTTTTGCCCTCCTTGGCAGACCAACTGCATGCCGTATATCACGGCAGAGTACATTCTCACCCACTTCTCCTGTGTACCTTCGTGTGTAATATGACAGCTACTCCTACCTCACCGGGTGGATGCTCAAATGGCCAAGGGGGGGAAGCTATGGCCTCCGTGCTCTCGGTGACATTCAGATCACCTAACCCAGCGATGCAAGGCCATTCACAGCTGGGTGACCTTCCTCGTTTGCTCAACAACGCATTCTCTTATTGATCCGGTAGGGGGAGATGTCGATCGCGAACAAGACAATCGTCCTGACGGGCGCGAATCGGGGCATTGGGCTCGAGGTGCGACGCTACGGTATTGTGGCTTCGACGGCGAACAACAGGACCGCCCATTCGCTGCACGTGCATGTGTGGTCCAATGGGGTGCAATCACGGTGGCATTCACGGGCGTCCTCATTCACTCCGCCATGCAGTGGGCGAGGCAGCTCCTGGCCAGACCAGGGAATAGGATCATCGCCGGTGTTCGTCAGCCCGACAAGGCCGCAGACCTCAAGGCGCTGGGCGGATCTCGAGTCCAGATCCTACCCCTGGACGTCTCCAGCTCCACTTCCATCGAGTCATGGGCGGACGAGATCAAGGCCTCCACGCCCCACGTTGATGTAGGTGGCATGGAGGGCAGATTCTTGATTTGGGGGCCAGGATCCATACATCATGACTCTCGAAGGGAGATGCAGCCTCCATCTCGACCTGAGGTCCTCCTCCCTCTCATGCTCGCTCCCTCTGGCCTGGCTGGCATGCACCAGGTCGTCATCAACAATGCCGGGGTGTACGGCGAGCGTCAGGATCTGGGCAGTGTCACGTCCGAGAACATGGTGAGCACCTTTGTCGCAAACACTGTTGGCCCCCTCCTCATCGTGCAAGCCCTCGCTTCCCGAGGTCTCCTGGGAGGCTCAGCGGGCCCGACGCTGGTGGCCACCGTTTCCAGCAAGGTGGGAAGGGTCTGGTGTTTGTAGTGGGTTGGGTATGCCTGTGCTGATAGTGACTGGGATTCTGGGGTGCTGTCCTTCTGTCCTTGTTCACTAAGTATAGTGCTCAAGGCTGACTTGGGTCGTGTTAAGGAGCTGGGACATGAGCTCCATGGCACTTCATGCCCTTTTCAGCGATACGTTTGTCCCACTTCATTCCGTTACATGCTCATCACACCGTGGCGCACAGATGGGGAGCGTGGAGGACACCAGCACGGGGTCGTACGCCTACCGTGCCAGCAAGGCGGGCGTGAACATTGTGTGCAAGGCCCTGGCCAACGAGCTGGGGCCCAAGGGGGTCACCGTTACCCTGCTCCACCCGGGCTATGTCATTACCGACATGACGGAGGGGAGGGGCCTGATTGACACCGCCACCTCCGTGGGGGGCATGCTGTCGGTGCTGGAGGGCGGGGACGACATCCACGGCAAGTTCCTTGCATGGGACAAGAAGGTGGTGCCCTGGTGATGAACATGCCTCTTCTCTCATCTGTGCTTGCCGTACATGTTAATATGGCTGAGATAGTCGTGGCAGCAGCAGCCCTGTGAATGGCTGGGGTGCTGGGTTCATGGTCATGAGCGTACCATTAAAACCACTGCCAGGAAGCCTAACTGTGGACAAATAACAATAAGCTGAAACCCTGTGAGAACCCTCGTTTTTGGGCTCGATTATAACCTCAGAGTGATCTCCAGGCAGGGACTTGCCCCGGCAGTTGTCCCGAGCCCTGACCATGGCCTGGGCCTCAGACGGCTGCGTCTCGTCGGTGACTGGGCGACCTACATCCTTGTAATGTATGTATCGCTTAGTTGATCGATTAGTATACATTCCGTGGTAATTATGCACCCGTTGCGTCATACTCTCGTACTCTCAGGGTGGATTCCCTCACGGATGATGTCAACTCATCTGCCATCTATATAGACTCGTAGGCTCGGCCTTTCAAGCAACCCAACTCTGGTTTCTATAACACATACAAGACACTTGTTGCTTCACTTTGCCGCCCTCTCGCCATGTCCATCATCGAAGGCAAGACAGTGGTCGTCACCGGCGCCAACCGGGGCCTCGGACGGGAGGTGAGTGAAAATCCGGGCAACCTGCAGCCTTGCAGAAAATGAACCCAGTGCCTGCATGGAGCTGTGCTGATCTCATGCTCCTCCCCCGCACTCTCCACTCCTCCTGCCAGCTGGTGAACCAGCTTCTGGAGCGGCCAGGAAACACCATCATCGCCGGGGTGCGCGACCCCAGCCAGGCGAAAGACCTGGCCAGCCTGGGACCCAACGTGGTAGTGACCCAGCTCGATGTGTCCGACGAGGCCTCCATCGAGGCATGGGCAGCCTCCCTGAAGAAGGATTTCGCTCACATCGATGTCAGTTGGGGGTTGGTTGGGAGGGGTGATGACCGTGCAGCGGTGGTCCCGGTGGCTGACTGGGTCAGGGAACAATCCTGATCTGCCTCCCCGTCGCCGTCGCCTGCGCCAACCTCTGCTCTCGTTCTTCAAACCATGCAGGTCGTCATCAACAATGCTGGCATCGCCGACATGGAGCCCTTTGGGAGCCTGAAGGGCAAGCTCTTCCACTCCATTTTCCAGACCAACGCCATCGGCCCCTTCCTGGTGGTGCAATCACTCCACGGCCAAGGCCTGATCGGCGGCAGCGGCGGCCACACCCTGGTCGCCACCGTTTCCAGCACGGTGAGGTGCTGGGCTGACAAGAGTATGGGGCCGGTATGTGAGTCGTGCATGCAGTGCGCTGCTGTCAACCCCACTCCAACATGGCCCCCTAGCTATACCCTTCACCTCACCTGTCCCCACCCTCCATCCCCCAGATGGGGAGCATCAGCGAGAACCGGGCAGATGGTCTGCCCATCACCATTGGCCTGAAGCCGGGGGGGGCCATTCCCTACCGATCCAGCAAGTCAGCCGTGAACTCCATCATGAAGAGCCTGTCCCACGACCTGGCAGACCAGGACATCACCGTCACACTCCTGTGCCCCGGCTACGTGGCCACAGGTGCGCTGAGAACAGTGATTGCCGGGCCATGGGGTGCAGTGAGCTTGGAGGAGGTTCAGCCGCACTCTGCGCCATCGCTGGCCTGGCACATGTATTAATAGGTTAGGCTAATAGGCTAGGGTGTCGAGGCTCACCCCCCCCCCCCCTGCTTGTCACATCTCCAGACATGAATGGACACAGCGGCCACATCGACACCCAGACCTCCGTCAACGGCATGCTCAAGGTCCTGGAGGAGAATAAGGACCTTCAGGGCAGCTTCCACTACTACACGGGCCAATACATCCCGTGGTGATCAGGACCGAGCGCACCGCGCCGCGGCGAGCCCAGGCGCAAATCCCGGCCTCAGTCTGCTGCGGCAATCCTGTACTCTGTGTTGCATTCCAATTTTGAACAGGCGGTACCTCTTCCAAGCTCATGTGATCCATTGTCAGGCTGCCACGAGCTGCCCAACATGCTGCCCAGGAAGTACCCTCACCGCCACATCCCATTTCAGTGTTGTACCAAGCATGGGCACACACTGGCAGACCGGTGACGATGTGCACATCACCCCCTCGCCTCGCGCGCCAGCTGGCGCTTCACCGCCGCCATGCGCGCCGCGGAGCCAAAGGGCGTGGGCAGCCCCCAGGCCGCGGCGCGGGCCAGGTCGACGCCCCGGCCCGCGCGCCGCGGCACCAGCGCCAGCTTCCAGACCAGGGAGAAGCGCGGCCTGCCGCCCGCGGCGGCGCTGGGCGCGCTGAGCCGGTGCACCACGTCCTGGTGCATCAGCAGGGCGCGGCGGGGCCGGGGGGCCACGCCCACGCCGACCCCGGAGTCGGAGTCGAGGCAGAGCGTGTCGCCGCCCCAGTCGCGGCGCCAGTCCGGGTTCAGGTACAGCACCAGGGAGGCCAGGAGCGGCTGGCCCGGCTCGCCGTTGAAGTAGTCGCCCAGGGCCGCCACCCAGGGCGAGGAATCGGGGAAGGAGGTGGGGTCGGCGTCCTGGTGGTAGGCAAATTCGTCGCCGGCCACCGCCGCGTTGGCCAGCAGCGGCACGCAGTCTGCTGCCGGGGCGGTGGTGGCCGCCGGGGCTTCGCCGGCACTGCTGTCGGGGGCGCACGGGTCGGTGGCATCTGGACCCTGGGGGGCAGCGCCGTCGGGGGGGCAGCGCGTGGCGCCATCCGCCGCCTCCGGCCCGATCTTGGCGCGCTTGGCAGCGCTGGCGTTCCCCTGGTTGCACTCCTCGGGCCAGCAGGTCTCCGTGGCGCCATCGTCGCCGCCGTGGGCGGCAGCAGACACGAGGGCCCCCCCGGCCCCGCCCTGGATGGCGTCGCTGGGCAGCCAGGCTACGTGGGCGTCCGGGTACAGCGCGGCCAGGCGCGCGCCCACCTCACGCAGCGCGCCCAGCGTGCCGCGCCGCAGCGCGCGCAGCGCCGTGCCCCGCATGCCCCAGCTGGGCGCCCCGCCTGCGGCGTCGGTGGTACGCCGCTCCCACGAGCCCGCCGGCGGCCGGCTCAGGCGCCCCGCGGCCAGGTCGACGGCGGCCGCTGGGCCGATCATCGCCTCCAATAACCCCGCACGCGTGGCCTCGTCCACAAAATCGTCCAGCACGAGGACGTTGGAGGCGGCGAGGCGCGCGCCGTCGGGGCTGGCGGGGGGCGGGCACGATGCAGGCGTCCAGGGACAGGGAGAGCGTGGGGCGGGGGAGGCACGCCGGGGTCCAGGACGTCGTGTGGCGCGGGATGAGGGTGAAAGAAAGGCCGGCGTGGGTGAAGGGGCTTTCTGGGTTTTGCGCCTGTGGGGGTCCGGTCTCCTTGCCGGCGGGGGATCCCGACGCAGCCTTGTCGCGGACGTCACCCGATACAGAACACGACATTGGGCGGGCGGGGCTGGATCCAGGGGATGGGAGACTCGATGGGAAAGGCCCGCAGCCAGGTACCAAGCGCCAGGCGATGCTGGCAAGGAAACAGGCTCTCTAGAAGGGAAAGCACTCCTCGGCAGGCACCTAGATGCGGCCTTGCCGAGCCACGAATTCCTCGTGGCCGCACACCCAACCTCCCTAACCGCTCTTGGCCTTCTGCCGCAGCTGCTTGGGGGTCATGGTCAGGCGGTCGATGAGGGAGGCCTTGATCTCGCGCTTGGCGGCCTGCGGTATTGTGGTGGGTCCAGGGATGAGGAGGCATCCACTAGTGATCTGGCTGGACCGGAGTACATGGCAACCCATGGCATTGAGTGACCCACGCATACGACAAAACCCTCAAGCTCCAGCAATATCCATCTCGCACCCTGTGCTTCTCAATGCGCTCGTCCATGCCAGCCAGATTCTCAGCGATGACCCTCATCCTGTGGATTGGTTGGTCATCTGGATGGGCCAGGACCATGCTGATATGCTGCAATCATGGGACTGCAGTGCAAAACCGGCAGGGTTTATACAGTCTGGAACACACGATGCTCACCTCGCAGGCTTCTGGCGATCGTGTTTGTGGCCCTTGTTTGGCTTGCGGGGCTTCTCCTCCTTTGGCTCGGGCTCAAACTCCCACTTGCTGCGGGGGGAGGCGACGAAGGCAAGGGTGATGACCAACCCCAGGGCTCTCCTCGCGGCAGAGAGTGTCCGTGCACCGTATCAATCAAAACTCACCCAGTGGCAAGGAGCGCCTCTCGGCGCAGCTTTGCGACGTTCTTGGCCGAGATTTGTGCTTTGTGCCACACGCCACCGACGTTCTGCGGCTTGAGAGCGGCCTCACCCAGTTTCCTCAGGAGCTGCAGGGACATTGCGTCTGGAGCTCTTTCGATGCTTCTTATTATTTTTAGGCGGGCCTGACTTGCCCTGTCATTCCCACAGAAAGACGATGGTGAACAGAGTGACTGGGGCACGGTACCCACATATTGGTACCCCCGATGACGAGGCCCCTCCTGGCAAACGGGCAGGCTTGCGACACTGCCGAAGTATGGCCATTCTGCTTCTGACATATACTCAAAGTATCACTCATATATCACTCCTTCCATGTCGATTCGCCATGGGAGTCCCATTCGATGATGAGCTTGAACAACTCCGCGCAGAGAATGAGGCCCTGAAGGTGGAGGTCCAGCGCCTGCGCCAGGCGCAGAGCTCCTCCCTGCCCGAACCCAGATCTCAGAATGACTTGGAGACTCCCTCAACCCACTCCTGGGATGGCCTGGGGCATGGCTTGAGCCGGGACGACATCGCCAGGTACAGCCGGCAGATCATCCTCCCCAGCTTTGGCGCCCAAGGTGCGCTGAGTTGTTGTTTTGGTGAAGTTCCTATGGACATCTACCAGCATCCCTTGTCCCGCTTCTTATGATGAAGGGAATGGGCAGGATTCGCCTCCTACCGCCAATTCTTAGCCAGCAGACTCTGAACAACCCCTCCCTCCCACATCCCCGTCTGAACCTGCAGCTCAGGGGAAGCTGTGCCGAGGCTCGGTGCTGATCGTGGGGGCCGGGGGCCTGGGATCTCCCGCAGCGCTGTACTTGGCGGCAGCTGGCGTGGGACGCATCGGCCTCGTGGACAAGGACACGGTGGAGCTGAGCAACATCCACCGCCAGATCATCCATAGGTGGGTGCTTATGGGGATGACTGTTTCGCCAGGTAGTGCGCTCGGGTGCCAGTGCGAGCCTGCGTAAGGTCTGGTGGCGCGGCAGGAGACCAAGTTATCCTGACGCCGCTCCTCTCCGCCATGCGCAGGGAGGGGACGGTGGGCCAGCACAAGTGCGACTCGGCCGCTCAGTCCATTGCCGGCCTGAACTCCCGGGTCCAAGTGGAGCTGCACAGGGATGGCTTGACCCCGGAAAACGCCGTCGGCATCGTCACCCGCTACGACGTCGTCGTTGACGCGTCAGACAACGCCCCCACCCGCTACCTCATCAGGTGCACTGGGGCATGCCTGGCAAATGGCTGCGTGGGGGTGCTTGGTTGCCCATGGTGGGTTTCTCTCTCGATTGTTGCTCCACTTGCATGCGCCACACACAACTCCAACCTCTATGCACCGCATATCAACGTGCCGACATCCATCCATCCCATGCCCTGGCCCCTCCTCTGCAGCGACGCCTGTTGCGTGGCTCGCAAGCCTTTAGTCTCGGGCGCGGCCATCGGCCTGGAGGGCCAGCTGACCGTGTACTGCGCCGGGGATGATTCACCCTGCTACCGGTGCCTCTTCCCCGAGGCGCCCCTGCCCCAGAGCTGCTCCCGCTGCTCCGACGCAGGGGTCCTGGGTGTCGTGCCCGGCATCATCGGGACGCTGCAAGTGGGTTCGTGAGGGGGGCGGTGGCGTGTGCTCGGTTTATCTACGGGCGAGGTGCTTGAGGAGGCAGCAGCATGAGGCTGACGTTGTTGCTGGCGCTGCAAGTCCCCGAATTCAATACTCACCCCCTGACCTCACTCCCCTTTCTTCTGCACTCGCAAGGCCCTGGAGACCATCAAGCTGATCTCGGGTGTCGGCCAGCCACTCAGTAGGAAGCTGCTCCTCCAGGATGCATGGGCCGGCAGGTTCCAGTCGGTGAAGCTGCGTGCCAGGTAAGGAGCGGAGGGGTTTGATGGGGGTGACTTTGGGCAACATGGTGACACACAAAGCTGGTCGGCCGTGTTACATGTCGCTCGGCAATTGCCCTGGCCTCAGAATGCATCACGCCGCAAGCCTTCACCCCCAGCGCCTTCCATTCGTCGTCCTTGGCAGGTCTGCTGGCTGTGTGGCTTGCGGCGACGCGCCCAGCATCACGGCCGAGACCCTGGCGGACTATGACTATGCGGCATTCACTGGCCAGGCTCCCAATGATGGGCCGCCGCGCCCGCTGCGCCTTTTGAACCCGGAGCAGCGCATCACTGTGCAGCAGCTGCGAGACAGGTTGGTGCTGGACAGTTTGGGAGTGGCGGTGCCTGCGCTCGGGCATGGATGCCCTAATCCAAGCACAGAGCTTGTCGGCCTGTATCTTGCTTCAGGCCAATCTTTCCCATTGAGATTGTTCGTGTTGGATTCATACCTGCCCAACTGAGGTAAACTTCCCTCCCCTCCCTACTCCACAGGCTGTCGTCTGAGCAGGGATCATCCACCGCTTCAACCGACCCTTCCGCCCCCCCTCTAGTGATCGACGTGCGCCCGCCCGAGCAGTTTGCCATCTGCCACCTGCCGGGCGCGGAGCACATGCCCTGGGCGCGCTTTGCGCGCTTCGAGCAGCGCCTCTTGGACCTGGCCGCCGGCGACCGGCCCATCGTGGTCATGTGCCGGCGTGGGAACGACTCGCAGAGGGCCACCGCCCGCATGCTTGAGCTGGGCATGCAGAGTGTGGTGGATGTTGTGGGAGGAGTGGAGGCCTGGGCGCGAGATGTTGACCCCGACTTCCCGTTGTACTGAAGGCAGCTGTGTAAATCGCACGTTGATCTGATCCGAGCATGACGTAATATTCGATCCAAGCCGAAGATAGAGCGCCCCGTGACCTGGAGCGCAATTCCTCTGCGGCCGCGCCTCCCAAGCTCTGACATTCATGTTGAAAAAGATCTGACTTGTGGGGCATCAGAGGCATATTAAAGCAGAGTGGTCCATTCAGATCTGGCACTGAGGTCCCATGCTTGTGCACATGGAGCTCACTCCGGCCCCTGCATGCCCATCCCTGGGCATGGGGGCCGCGATGCTGGTTCGACAGGCAATGCACAACAGGACCATGCCCTTCACGCACTTAAAACCCTTGAACCGGCTGCTGGGTAGCCCCAGGGCTCGGCATCCGCATGTCGCACCCCAGGCCGTCTCCGTCACCAACACGAGCACCACGCGGCCGGGCGGCAGGAGCTCCGCGCCAGGGATCCCAGGCGACGCGGAGTACGATGTAGTCATCGTGGGAGCGGGCATCTCCGGCCTCACCACCGCGCAGGTGCCGGACTTTTGGTCGGGAAACGGGGATCTTCTGGGATTTTTTGGTAGGAGGTTGATCCCCAACAAGCCCCAGACGCCCCATATTCAGCCCCCCCGGCATGTCCGCGACCTATGCACGCCCCCCTCCCGTACACACAGGCCCTGGCAAAGCAGTACTCCGACGCCGTGCCCCGCCTGCTGGTGACGGAAGCGCGAGACTGCGTGGGCGGCAACATCATCACCCGGCGCGACGGCGGGTACCAGTGGGAGGAGGGCCCCAACTCCTTCCAGCCCTCCGACGCCGTGCTGCGCGCGGCGGTGGATGCCGGCGTGGCGGACCGCCTGGTGCTGGGCGACCCCAAGGCCCCGCGCTACGTGTACTGGGGCGGGCGCCTGCGCGCCACGCCCTCCGGCCCGGACGTCCTCACCTTCGACCTGCTCAGCCTGTGGGGCAAGCTGCGCGCGGGGCTGGGCGCGGCCGGGTTCAAGGCCCCCCTGCCGGAGCGGGAGGAGTCGGTGAAGGAGTTTGTGACACGCAACCTGGGGGAGGAGGTGTTCCAGCGCCTCATCGAGCCCTTCTGCTCCGGGGTCTACGCCGGCGATCCCGCAAAGCTCTCCATGAAGGCCGCCTTTGGCAAGGTCTACGACCTGGAGAAGGGGGGCGGGTCCATTGTGGGGGGGGTGCTGGCGCTGATGAAGGCACGAAAGCAAAAGCCGCCGGAGCCCCGCCCCGCAGACCTGCCGCCCAAGCCCAAGGTGAGCTTACATTTGAGGGCGGAAGCGCATGTCGATGTATTGCTTGTGGTGTGGGGCCAGGCCAGCCCCTCCCTGGGCAAGGGAGAAAGTCAAAGCTATGCCCGCAGCTGGAGTCTACGGTGGACGCGGAGCCATCGGGACTGGCCGTGGTATGCGCTGAGTGCTCGGCGAGATGATTCTGTCATCAGTGAGGATGAGGTGCCCCTCCCGTACTACCAAACACAAACCTGTCCTCCCAGCATATCACCCTTCCACACCTTTTGACAGGGCCAAACCGTGGGCTCCTTTGACAAGGGCTTGGTCACGCTGCCGAGCGCCATTGCAGAGGAGCTGGGAGACCGGGTGGTGACGGGGTGGAAGCTGGAGAGCATCGATCGCAGCGGCGATCGATTCCAGTGAGTGCCAGAGGGAGGTTTGCTGGTGGGTAGTGTCATTTTGGGGTTTTTCTGACAGGTGGATCGAAGGCATGATCTCTTGTTCAATCAGCGCAACACCTCATTACCATGTGCAGGCTCATGGCGATCAACCCGTCCAAACCCGAGCTGCCCCCACTCCCCTTCTTCGCACAGACTGACGTACGACACGCCGCAGGGCAGGAAGAAAGTGAGCGCACGCAGCGTGGCACTGACCGTGCCCGCATACACCGCCGCCAGCCTGCTGGAGTCGCGCTTTCCCAAGCTAGGCAAGGCGCTGAGCAGCATCTACTATCCACCCGTGGCCTCGGTGGCGCTTTCCTACCCTGAGACTGCCATCCTGCCCGAGCGCTTGGGCTCTGACGGCCACCTCGCAGGTATGCGTAGGAGAGGGGTGCGCCTGGTATAGTGCTGATCTGGAGAGGCCACACTCCTCGGCACCAGCATCCACTCAGGAGCTCGCCACATCGTCCTGCAGGTTTCGGGCAGCTGCACCCCAGGACTCAGGGTGTCACCACCCTCGGCACCATTTATGCCAGCAGCCTCTTCCCCGGGAGGGTCCCGGAGGGCAAGGTCCTGCTGCTCAGCTACTTTGGGGGAGCCACCAACACCCGAGTGGCGACCATGCCGCACGGAGAGATTGTGTCCCAGGTGAAAAGGTTGGGGGTTGTGAGCTGGACTGCCATGGAGCTTCACTCGCATCGGTCTTTGATGGGCCCTACCACTTCTGGAAGTCTTGAGGCTGGAGGCATGCCCACTCCTGCTCATGAAAACCACCTCTCCGCTCCCTGCCATCCAACCGCCTCCCAGGTGGACAAGGATCTACGGAAGATGCTGATCCGAAGCGACGCAGAGTCCCCACACACTGTGAACGTCACTGTGTGGCCCAGGGCCATCCCACAGTTCAATGTCGGGCACACAGACTTGATCCAGGTTTGCAAGAGTTTTGGTCGAAAGTGGCATGGGTCTTTTCCGTTGCAGAGGGGGCCATCGCTCCAGAGGTGTGAGTCCTGGAGGCAAAGCACGGCCTGCACTGCTGCATGCCAAGGGTGATCGTGTACTGTGGCAAGGTGTGTGTGCACCAACAGGGCGACACTCTCTGCATCTGCAGGAGGCCAAGGATGACTTGGCGTCGCAGGGGTGGCAGGGTCTGCACCTTGGAGGAAACTACGTCGCAGGTGGGCCTTGGTTGGCTTCAGTTCTATTTGATTCAAGGATGCTCTGGCAGGCAGATGCCATTATTCCACATGCCAAGAGTTAATGTAGCTGGGCATCTACCATCCTCACTTACAGGTGTCGCACTTGGCAAGTGCATGGAGGCAGGGTACAAGCAGGCGGCAGAGCTGGCGTCACATGTCAAGAGCCTTGCTACTTGAGCATCCATGATGTTAAAAGATCAGTAGCGCAATGCTGCCGTTGAATGTAGGTCGTCAGGGTATCGCACTGGACCCGCCGGCACCCTGTCGACTAAAAGGATCACTTAATTGAGAATGGACGCGCCCGAGCTGTACTGTCCATACCCAAAGCGTGGATCCATCAACCCCTTCACCCAATTCTGTAATTCATCAGGGACAGTACTTGCTCAGAATCTAGAGCCCGCCGGTCTTTGCACTGCATTCAAGGTGCTCCTTGGCTCCGCGATGCTGCAGGGAATCCGGGCACGCTTCCCCACCCTGCTCGCCGCAGCTGGAGCGACCGCGGCTGTCGGCGGATATGTGGTTTGGACGGTGAGCTCCAGGTTTGTGCAGAGATCTGCCGCATCTGATCACCCCCAGTGGCGCCGGAGGGGAGCCCTGTCCGATTGGGCACCTGCTCGCCCGATCTCACGGATGCTCGACCCCTCCTCCCACAGGCCACCCGCCCGGCGCTGGCCGCCACGCCTGCCAGTGCTCTGAGCCCCGACGAGTGGCGCTCCTTGAAGCTTGTGCACAAGGAGCAGCTGACGAAGACCACCAACCCTGTCTGGCTCTTCCGCTTTGCACTACCAGATGAGAAGCAGGTGGTGGGGCTGCCAGTGGCCTCCTGCCTCCTCACGCGCGCCCCCATCACCAAGAAGGACGGCCGCCCCGGCTGGGCCATCCGCCCGTGAGTGGCGGGGCATGCCTTGCTTTGTGGCGGAGCCTAGTAGGGACTGGGTGAGGGAGTTCATGCCATCACCGGTGCAGTGCGGGTGGGTGACAGTGGCACTCGAGTGGCAGCAAGTGGGCTGTGCCTGCTCTCCCATGCCTGCACCTACTGTCCTTGCCGTCAGATGGGATTAAGTTGCTACAGGGGAAGAGGATCTGCCACCGATCGGTTCCATCACAAGGTCCGCCCTCTCCCTGCTGCCCGCAGGTACACTCCCATCACAGCCCCCGATGCCAGGGGCCACTTCGACCTCGCCATCAAGGTCTACAAACAGCCCAGCCCCGGAAAGGTCTCCACCTTCTTCGAGGGACTATCTGTGGGGGACAGCGCCGACTTCAAGGTGTGCGAGGGTGGGGAAGTGCGGTCTGGCGACAGGGGGGTTGGCATGCTGCGCGGTGCAGCCTACAGGGGACTGCGCCTGCGCCACCGTGCCCTGCCCTCCACTCACTGGTCCCCCTCCCGCTTCACAGGGCCCCCTGCCCAAGCTGAGCCTGTCCGACATCGCCAAGCGCAAGGAGGTCGGCCTGGTGGCTGGCGGCACAGGCCTGACACCCATGCTCCAGGTGGCCACTGAGGCGCTGCGCCAGGGCCTCCCCCTCAAGCTGAGCTTCATCTTCGCCAACGTGTCCGAGGACGACATTGTCATGCGCAAGCACCTGGACGGCCTGGCTGCCAAGCACGACAACTTCAGGGTGTACTACGGTGAGGCGCAGGAGCAAGAGGGAGGAGGGTCGCCGTGCGGGGTGCCTCGGGGCGGCCTCGTGCAGGCCCAGCTCAGTTCCTCTCTCGCCAGGGGTGCGGCATCCGAGACGCACCCCGCGGGGCCCGACCCGCCACCCCCCACCCTCCATGCCGCGCTTCTCCCCACAGTGGTGGACAAGGCGACCAGCAAGTCCTGGCCCGGCGGCGTCGGCTTCATCACCAAGGTGAGCGGTGGCGGGCATGGGATCGCGGATGTTTCCCCGCACGCGCGCCCTGCCAGACCCTGCTTCGGTGCCCTGGCACGCACTTCAAACCCCCTTGCACCCCCTCCTCCCGGCCCGCAGGACATGCTGAAGCAGCACCTGCCCCACCCCGGCCCCGACAGCCTGGTGTTGGTGTGCGGCCCTCCGGGCATGATGGGCGCGCTGAGCGGGGACAAGCTACCCGACAAGTCCCAGGGGCCCCTGACCGGCCTGCTCAAGGAGCTTGGCTTCGACGAGAGCAACGTGTACAAGTTCTGAGTGCCAGGCGGGAGGCGTGCATGCTGGCGTGCGGGCTGGCATGGGAGAACCCCCCTGCTCCGTGCGGCTTGGCCTGCCCCTTGGGCTTCACTCATGCCCGCAAGAGCCGGCATGTTCCATGAAGAGGGTGGCATCGCCCTCGGCTCGCGACCCTATGGTTGTAACAAGCTCACAGCCCAGCCTGCGTGACGAGGGCTCCTTGGCAGGCCATGAGTCGTGCATCATGCCCTCAGCCCCTGTCTAGCTCGGTAGTTTCTGTGTCACTCGCTCAAACGCCACGTGTCATTTCACAACAGATGATGGGGAGGGGTGGCCAAGGCACATCGGCAGTGGGGCAGCATATCGGACCTGCCGCTACCTTCCCAGCAGGTGCCGCAGCGCGGGCGCCTGCACCTGCATGAAGTAGCCCAGCACGAACGCCAGCAAGGCGACCAGCACAAGCTGGGTCACGCCATAGGCACCCGTGCTCCTCTGCAACATTGGAGAGGTGTGCAGGGCGGAGGGTGTGGGGATGGTAGATCGCAGCAGGTCAACGACAGACAGTGAAGGCGGACCACATCAGCGACGCACGCTGGACACCAAGAAGGGGTCGGGTTGTCATGGGGCCAGCAGGCGCCGCCACCGGCTCGACTGCAACTTCTCCACCCTTCCTAAATCCCAACCACCCGCCTGGCTTACAAAGCCGCTCCATCCTAAAACTCACCGCGACCTGCTGCTGGCTGCCCACGCTGCCTTCCAACTCCGCCAGCCGGCGACGGATGTCTGACTTGTCGGTGGCGGCATTGGTCAGCTTTTTGTCCAGGTTGTGTGCCAGGGCTATGGAAAACGGTGGGTAGGGTGAGGGGTTTCAGTTCGCGGGCCGCAGTCGCAGGGTGGAAGTCCTGGAGGCCTCAGCCAGGCACGCATGACAGAGGGCGACATCCAGCTGCTGCAGCCAGCACCACGCTCACCACCCGACAGGCCTATGCCACCCCTTGCCACTCCTGCCCTGGTATTCAGCGTGCACCATGGACAACAGACGAAAGTGCGCCCATGCCTCACCATCCTTGGTGGTCAGGGGGGAGTTGGGCTCCTCATTCCCCTCTGGCACTGGGGAGGGGGGCCGAGGCGGCGCCACCAGCACCACACGCAGCTTTGTTTGCCTGTGCGGGGGATACGCCACAAGAGTGTTCCTTTGAACGGTTGAGGACAGGAGTCGCGCTGGAGTGAGCGCAGCCTGGGCCCAAGGGTGGGCACATACGCGACCAGGAATAACGAATTCACAATTCACCGACCGGAGCGAGGAGCGGCCCTCCAAGGTGTCCACACACTCTCCATGCATGTGTGCATTTGCACACAGGTCCATGCAGCATGCTTGCCCTCCTGGCCGCCCTCGCACCTGATGTCCTTCACGCGGCTGGTGTCGAAGAGGTCGGAGGTGATCTCCTTGATCTCGTTCTGCTCTGGTAGAGATCCAGGCAGCTTCACACACTGAATCAAGAACTTGTCCTTGCAGTCTGCACCCAGAGAGGGATAGAAATGTCAGGGCCCCGTGCCCAGGGACTGTTGGACGTCATGCATGGGCCTGATGTGATTCCGACACACATGGACACCTACGCCCCACCTGCCAGGCTGGCAGGCATCTCCCGCTGGGCCTGAAGGATGACCTGCACGTCCTTGCTGCTGTTCGGCTCAACGAAGCCATTGCTTGGCCGGACGCAATACTTCTTAGGGCTGGTGGTCTTCACCTTGAAGGCAACCCGGTCCCCTGAGGGGTTCTGCAGCGTCAGCGTCACCGGCGTGTTCTTCTTCAGCTCGAACCTGGGTGACAGCCATGGAGGATGGAAGGGATCAGCGGTGACGGACACCTCGTTCTCCTCTTTGGAACTCAGGTCGCCCTCCCGTCACGCAGGGGGACCGGTCCTCACCTGAACTTCAGCTCCGAAGGTGAGACATTGACGAAATTTGCCTTTTCCGCCATCGAAATGTTTGACGGTCTGGAGCGAGCTCGAATCCGAACAACCTCAAGAACGGGGCGGGCTGGAGGAGGTGATCCCAGGTGGCCGCGGGCCTTTCCGTGTGGTCAAAATCCTCGCAGGATAGACCTCGGAGCGCCTTGAGATCAATAAGACGCAAATTACATGGATGGAGCGCCCGCCAGTGTCAGCAGCCTTGGCGACGCTGGGTCGGATGCCTTGCGATGGAAGAAGGCAAGGCGCCTTCAAACATTGCTTGGGCGTAAGCTGGTGGGAAACTTGTGGGGATGTCATGTGGCGAAAATACCATGGTTACACCGGCTTTCTAAAGGTCGAACACGTAAAAGACCTCAAAATATGGCGAAATAGAATGTGCTTGGGTGCAGAGGCAAGTGCTATGCTTGTGATTAGCTTTCACAAGCATGCCCTGGAAGTGAAGCACCTTGCAGGACCAAATAATAACATCATCATCAAAGCAGTTGTGTAGAAGAATGAGGTGTTCTGGTGATCTTGAAGATTCCCTGGAGGATGGCAGTCAGCCCAAAATTGTCCTTCCCTCTTCCTCCATAAGCATTCAGTTGGCTGGCTAACATTCTCATGAGGAGCAAATTGGAATGGACGTCCATGCCAAGGTGGATGCCAATCATACTTCCCCCTGGCAAGTATGAATGGCGTTTCATTTGCTTTCATCCTGCGAGTTGTCTGATGTGTGGCCGGACCTGGACTGGAAAGATAATAAATGCCATTAACAAGTGCCATGATCTGAGGGGGGTCCCAGGTGGCGACTGGCGAAATGCTCGTGAGCTCCCCACATAACCTGGATTTGAGCAATCCATCCAATCCCTGGAGAAAATGTGACCTTTGCATATCTCTGATGCGCACTTGCTTGATTATTACCGTCCATCATCATGGACTTACCCGCATCAGCATTTGCCCACATCATTCGATGCAGTGGCAGACAGCTCGCGCATGATCGGTGAACAATGCTCTGCAAAAAGATCGCCCCCTAGCGGGCTATTCATGTGAGGACCGAGCTTTTGCTTCCAAAATAACACAGATTATCGACCTCATCGCAGTCTGTGTCCGCTTGGTGATTGGGCTGTGCCCCAAGGCCGAACCGTCGGCATACTTGCCGTACGGGGATTCGCACAGGCCGCACAGGAAGACTCGATGGCCGAAGATGCCGCAAATGCACGAAATGTCCTATCTCAGATCAAAGCCAGGCACAGTGCAATGACTCGCAATGGGAGTCCTGCCAAGCCTGGAGCCGGCAGGTCAGCGCAGCAACCAACGTCACCCGCCAAGTCGCCCGCCAAGTTCACACCCCGGCCGTTGGATGGCACACCTTCTCGCAGCGTGGGGCCTCTGGTATGCGCTTCCAGCCACGCATCCCAGCAGGCCGCAGCCCTGAAGGCTCTGCGGCAGGACATCAGACGCAGGCTGGCGCAGCTCAACCAGAGGGCCTCGCCAGTCCAAGGCCGGCCCCCCCCGGGACTCCATAAGTCTGGGACAACCCCCAGCAAACTCCAAAAGCCGGACAGCCTGCCTGTTCCAGAGGTCAGCAGCGCAGCCTGTGAGAACGAGGACCCTGCCCTCGCACTCCACTGTGGGAATCCAATGCAATCCCCTGTTGCCAGCTGCCCAGCATCTGTTGAGGCTGGGGCGACTGAGGATCCCGGTAGAGACATCATCCTGGCAGGACCACTCACAACCCCGGGCACTGACCAAGGCCGGCCCGCCGCCAGTCCATCGCCCGGCCCGCTTGCGGTGCCGAGCCAGGGGCAGCGCCCCTCGCCAGTCGAAGTGGCGGTGGCAGATGCTGGGCTGGGATTGCAGGAGCTGCATCTGCAGCTGTGCGCCGCCAGGCAGCAGGCGCGAGAGGCGGCGCGAGAGGTGGAGCAGGCGTGCCTGCGTGTGGAGCGGCGGGACGCCCAGGCAGCAGGTCGGCATGGCTTGTGACCCTTGGGGGGGGTCCTTGGTGGGTTTCCTTGCAGCCGGGCTCAGCGCAGCCGCCCATGCGATATCCCCCAGCCAGTCAACCTGTGCGTCATGGAATCCCGTTCCGGCACCCAATCACCCCGCCTCGGCAGCGTCTGAGCGGTCGGAGGCGGCCCTCGTGGCACAGCTGCGCAGCCTGGCCTCCCAGCTCGAGAGCGCGCAGGAGCAGGTGGCGACCGAGCGCGCCGAGGCCTGCAGCGCACGGCGGGATGCAGAGGCCGCCGCTGCCCATGCCCAGGCGAGCGCCCGGGGCAGGGGCTGCGTTGATGCCTGGCGGCGACAGTCTTTCTCTGAGGGCACGTGGGCACCCAGTCTCACTCCATCGTGTGCCTGCCCTGCAGAGCCGGGAGGCGGTGCTGGCCTCCCAGGTCGAGGAGTGGAGGATGCGCGCTCAGGCGGGGAGCATGGCCCAGTCCGAACTCGCGGCCGAGCGCAAGGTGGTATGAAGGGGCGTGGGAAGGGCTCTTTCTCAGAGAGGGAGGGCGGGGAGAGACCTGGGGAGCACGGGTGCTGGACCAGGCACACCTGTCCAGCCTGCCTCCCACAGGCTGTGCTTCCTCAAGAGTCACCGTCTCACCCACTCAAGACTCTCGCTGCGGATCCTGCTCTCTCCCGATTCATCACTTCAACCCCCATCCCCCCTACTCAACCCCGCCCCCCATAAAATAACCCATCCCGATCCCCAAGGTGGCGCTGGACTCGCGGCTCGCCGTCGCGGTGATGCAGCGGGAGCGGGACGCCATGCGCGCGGCCCTGCAGGAAAGGGAGGCGGAGGCCGCGCGGCAGGCAGCCCGCGTCGCCGGCCTACAGGGCGAGCTGGGGGGCGCGCGCGCAGCGCTGGCCGACCTGCGCCTGGACCTGGCCGAGGAGCGGCGCCGCGCGCTGGCCCTGGCGGACGCGCTGGCCCGGGGGGCGTGCGGCGACGCGTCCCCGGGGGGGCGGCCTGGCACCCCGGGCCAGCGCGCGCTGCGCGAGGCAATGAGTGCCGCGCGCGCCGAGCTGGCGGAGAAGGAGGCGCAGCTGGCGGCCTGCATGGAGGACCTGATGCTGGAGCGGCGGCGCTGCGCCGAGCTGCACGCCCAGACTCTCGACCAGGCAGGGCGGGGTGGGGATGGCGATGGTGTGATGTGGGGATGGCGGCAGAGTGCCCCGTCTGGTCAAGGGCCGCAAGGGGCTGCAAGCGTTGCTGCCGGCAGGGACTGTCTGCTGCAAGGTACAGCATCGCTGAGCTGAGTGCAGCATCGAGTTGCACTCTGCCGGGTTGGTGACTCCACTCATGGTTAAAAAATACTCCCTTTCTCCTCCACCCACGCAGGCCATGGAGATAGACGACCTGCACGCCGAGGTGGCGGGGCTGCTGGACGCAGGCGCCGCACGCGAGGCAGACACCCTGGGAGGGGCCGGGCCTGGGTGCGATACGCCTGCTGTGCAGCAGGAGGTCGTGGAGCTGCGAGACGCGGTGAGGCCTGGATGGGTAGGTGGAAAGCGGGAATGTGCTCCTGAACGTGGGGGCCTGACCGGGCCCCAGGCACAAGACCCCGCCGCAGTAGGAGCTCGCTCCACCACGCACACCGACCACCGCTGACTCGCAGCTGGAGGCGTCGCGGCGAGTCACGCAGGACCTGCAGCGACAGAAGGCTGGGCTGGAGGAGGAAGTGCTGGCCCTGACCTCACGCGCGCTAGAGAGCCAGCCCCGGCCGCCCACCGACGCCGAGAGCTGGCTCATGGGCTCCTGAAGCGGACTTTGGTGTTTCATGTGCGGCGACCTGACTGAAAGCTTTTCCCATTCCCCACTTCTCTTGGTTGCGTTGTGCCGTTCTCGTATGCCTGCATGTACCCATCCAAGACCTGGCAGACATGCCACATCCCTCTGGCATGCCGGATCTGGAGTGTGCACGTGCAAGGATTTCAGCCCAGGCATGCAGACCTGGTGTCAGGTGGGCGCTCAGAGGCGCGTGGCGTCCCCGCCAAACAAGCGCTCGCCCCGCGCATGCCAGAGGAAGATGAGGGAGCCCGCCAGGCACAGCGAGGCTGCCACCGCCAGTGCGGCATACCAGCCCGCCAGCACCCCCGCGCCACCTGCGCCCTCCAACAGCACGCCCGTGGCCGCCACGCCGATCACGCCCGCCAGCGTGCCGGCGGTGTTGCTGATGCCCCTGGGTGCCGCGTGCAAGGGAAGATAGAGTGGGCGGCGTGGCGGGTGCCAGCCGGTGCCGGGGAGCTTGAGGTGGCCAAAGCCGCTGGCAGGCATGCATGCAGACAGGCAGGATTTTAGGGAACCCTTGCTGAAGGCGCTAAGCGGGGCAGGGCCTTCTTCCATCCCCACTACCTCTCAACACCCTCCAAATGCGCACATGACGATGCCGGCGAACTTGGGCGCAATGTCCATGTGGTTGACAGAGAAGCCGCCGCGCGCGAAGCCGCAGGTGCCCAGGGCCAGGGTTGTCACGGCGACGCCGCCGGCCACGCCGCGCGCGCCGGGCATGAGCAGGAGCGCGGCGGCGGCCGCCCAGAACCCGGCGCTGTTGACGGCCTTACGCCCCGCGGCCACGCCGGCGCGCCGTGTGTTGATCAGCCAGTCCCCCGCCCAGCCGCCGGCGTTGCTGGCGGCAAACATGGTGAGGTAGGCCAGGGTCTTGGCCGCGCCCATGGTGGACAGGTCCGCGCCCAGGACCTTGTCGAAGTAGGTGGGGATCCAGTTCATGAGCACGTAGAAGGCGTAGTGGAAGGTGAAGTTGTTCGCCACGATGGCCCAGACCGCGGGGCTGCGCAGCATCGCGCGCCAGGGCGTGGCACCCGGCCGGCCCCGCGACCCCGGCGCAAACCCCTTGCCATCGTCCGCAGGGCCGGAGGAGGAGACGGGGATGGAGGGTGGGCGCCGGCCCAGCGTTGCCAGGCTGGCGCGCCAGGTCAGCAGCCAGGCCAGGCCCAGCGCGCCGGACAGGCGCAGTAGCGAGGCAGGGCCGAAGGCCGCGGCCACGGCGGGCAGCGCCTGCATGGCCAGCGCGGAGCCGAGGTACATGCCGGAGGTGGTGAGGCTGACCGCGCGCGCGCGCTCGGTGGGGGGAACCCAGGCGGAGAGCACTGCGTGAGTGGGTTTGGGGAGGCGGAGATAGAACTGAGTGGCGACAGGGCCAAGCAGGCACATGGGATGCTGGGATGCATTGTCCTTGTGTGGTGGCACAGAAGGCAGGCAAGGGCACGAAAGCAGGGGGTCCACCTATGCTGAAGATGGCATGTGCACCACAGGAAACCCTGACCCAAGATAAGCGACACAGAATATAATAATGCCCACAAGTCTATCCCTTTGCGGCCAGCACCTGGCCGGTACCGGCGGGCACTCACTCTGCTACTACAGCCCCACCACCCACCCACCGGCCGACCTGTGTGCACCGCCGGGATCAGGAAGCCCTGCGCTACGCCGACACACACGCGCGCCAGAATGATGGCCCTCACACTATCGGCCGTGCCCGGGGTCAGCAGTGATGCCGTCGCCCAAAGGGCAAAGGAAAGTGAGAGCATGACGTCGCCACCATAGCGCTGAGCCGCCATGCCGCCCGGGATCTAGGAGGAGTTGTTGATGTGAAGGAGAGGCGGAGATTTATGGACCATGCCTGCTGATTGATTTCCAAGCATCCCACAGACACAGAGTTGGCTAGGCAGGGTGAAACACCGTCTCGCAGGGTTTGTCCATGCCGGGAAGCCCTGCTGGTGGGCTGCATGCAGGCATGTATGCTCCACCAGCGCCCCCCTTGGGAGACCGGCAGAGATGTTGACGGCACACAGAGGTCCCAGATCAGCCCTGAAATCCACCTGTGACAGGGCATATCCCCAGTAGAAGGCCGACAGCACGGTCCCCTTGACGCTCTCGCTCAGTCCCGCAGTCTTCGCCATGCCCGTGTAGGCGATGGAGAAGCCGGCGCGCTCCACATAGGCCGTCAGGGTGGCCAGGAAGCAGAGGGTGATGATCTGGTACCGCGGATTCCAGGGCAAGAGCCTGCAGGGTCGAATGGCCAGGGTGTTTGGGGGGGTGGCGCGGGGGCGTACCAGGTGTGGACCCATCCTGGAGGGGTACGCCCCATGTAGCCAGGAGCTTATCGGGTAAGACATCAGCAAGGGCCGTGAGTAATACTGATTCACATGTCACCGACCGCAGCGGCGAAGGCTTGCAGATCTAGCTCATACCTGGAGCGCCTAGCGCCGGGCTTTGTGGACGTGCCCGTGCTCCGGACTGCTGGTTTGGAGTAATGCTGGGGTGTGAACTGCCAGACTCCATTGACGGGACCTCCATGTCCAGATGCATCGAAGCCGCTGTTCATCACATGACAGATAGTAAGTCCTGGGGGGAATGCTTCCCTGCACTCGGCGCAGGCCGCAACCGCTGCAGGCCCGTGCGCCACCAGCAAACTCTCGGCGCTCCCACTGAAACGGAGCATTATATATTTATTATAATGGGGTTGGTAAAGTTATGTGCAGTGGGTTCGTTATGCCACACCCTCCAGCTCGATGGCGGGGTTGGAAAGGTGTCGTACGACACCGCAACAGCCCATCTTGCTGGGGAGCATCCCGCTTAATCCGGTATTGCCACAAACCCTTCACACCTGCCCTGAGCAATCTCACAGGCATTACACAGGGCAGCTCTGCAATACAGCAACGCGTGGGGAAGATATTACTAGCAGACATGCTGTTGCATTCCTGCGGGGGGTGCATCATAGAAAATATTGCCAGGGGTGATGGGACCGGCACCTGCATGCATGGCAAGCCGGAAGTACGAGGCAGAGACAACAGGGGGTGAGTCTTGATGGGTGCGTCATCGGCAACTCGGGGTCATGGTTGCACGTCTGCGGCGTAACCTGCGTGATGTGTAAGTCAAGTTGGTCTTCAGGCCATCATCAGCTTCCTCCCGGCAGTGCTGGTGGCAGCAGCGTCGGAGGGCGCGGCGGTGGGAGCAGTGGGGGCCACCTTGGGGGTGCAGCCCCTCACCACAGGCTTGTTCATGGCGGCGTTTGCCGCGGCAGGAGCAATGATGTCAGTCATGGTGGATTCGGTGGGCAGCACCTGCATTGGAATGAGAATGCTTGGGCTTCAGTCTGATGGGGCCCGCCTCAGGAGAGGCGGCGCAGACTGTCCCAGACCTGGAACTCGGCTCATCGGCGCCCGCATGCAGGAGGCAAGGAGGAGCCTGATGCAGGCAGTCTGCCGCGACATAATCTGTGACCCATCTCTCACCTGGTCCTGGTTCAGGTCCGCCCATCCCTCGGAGCGCTCGTTGACCAGCAGCGGGTCCCACATCCAGTATTGGGCTCTGGGTGGGTTTGAAAGGACTTGGTGAGTCATGGGGCACCTCTAGACATGCAATGGGCGTGACAGACCCTGCTGCACTCAAACGCACCAGTGGCGCAGATCGACCCGCACAGCACTCGACGCCCAGGGTGGATAGCAGATTCTTCCTTTCCTCCCATCCCCCCCCTCAGGAACGCGCACCCCTTCAGCACGTCGTCGTTGGCGATGGATTCCTCCAGCAGATCGAAGATGGCCTGGAAGACTGGGTTCCGGGCCTTGGCCAGCTCCTGCTCAGTGTGGCCCGTCACATTCTTTCCAAACTGCAGCCAGCGGGAAGGTGAGGGGTAGTGGGTGCTTGTGAGACTCAGGGTTAGTGGGACATGGGGGTGTGGTTGTGGGGGCGGAATGATTGCGTTCGTGAGGTACAGGCAGACATGAGGCTCTCTCCTGTCCAGACATGTGCAGGTTGGCACGGGCAAACATCTAACCCCCTGTCAAAATCTCTTACCTCCTCCACGACCAGAGGCACACCCAGGGTGCGCGCATCCTCCATGTGCTGAGTCACCCACTCGGTCAGGTACGAGGTGGGCACCTGTGGGGGGCAGCGCATACAGCTCAGGACGAATCCAGCATCTGCCCCCGGGGTCTGACGGACGCGCGGCCCCACTCCCCACCACTCACGTTCCAGTTGTCGGGCCAGACATGGATGGCTGCAGAGGCGGGGGAGAGGAGGGGACAACATCACTGACCAATGCACCTGCCCTGGCCCATTGCAGCGCCAGTACAATCTGATGGCTGGGGCACACCCTGCAACACTTGCCGGGCTGCCACAACCCACCGGCATAGTCGATGCCCTTGGCCTGGGTGTTCTCCACAAAGTTCTGCCCAGTCTGAGCGGCCCAGTCTGATGCACAGGCATTGGGTTGGTGGAGGAAAGCGTGAGCCTCATCAGCATGCTGCTCAGACCACCGGGGCACTGAGCAAGCTCGTCAGGCATCTCGCTCACCTCCGTTGCTGGGGTTCTGGTCCAGCTTCGGGCTGTTGGTGCCCCAGAATCCCTGTGCAGTTGAGATGCACACCATTGACAAGGACAAGGTCCCTTTGAACCCTTGTTCAGATGCTTGAAATGAGAATAATCATCACTTGCACACCTGATCATCAATCTAAACCCACAGCCACAACCCTGCCACCTCTGAGCCGATGGCGACCAGGTGGTTGGGGTCCGCTGCCTTCAGGGCGGCGGCGCTGACCTCGATCCATGTCTGCACGAGCAGGACAATCAGACCAGAGTGAAGTGCTGATGGTGCCTAAACTCAGCAACATCGAAATCTGTGCCAATTCTCCAGGGCCCACATCACCTGCATGGCATTTGTGCATGTCCCGGTCTGAGACTGGCAGGCGGTGTTGTTGTCAAAGTAGCGGGGTTCGTTCATCAGGTTCCACGAAAAGATGGCGGGGTCCTCTCTGCGCGGGGAGGGGGGAGGCTCGCAGGGTACACAGGCTGTCGAATGGAATGGACCTGCTCAGGTGAGGCCGGCGAATCTGCATACAAATTCTGTTGCAGGGATTCAGGATTGAGCCACTTGAGCATCACATTCTTCCCTCCTTCCATGCAAAGGCCTCACTTGTACACACGGCCATTCACGGAGTTGACGCGCTCAGCCATGAACTGCATGTGCTCCTGGAACCCTTTTTGCGCGGCGGGGGAAGTGAAGAAGTCATCGGGAGACTCCAGGCCGTTCCACGAGGCGTACTGCGAGGGGGAATCGAGGGGACGTTCTGAGGATCTCGCTTGGCCGGCAGGACATTAGCCCATGGCGCGGCACCGATACATTGGACAGAGAGGAACAAAACTTTGCAACATCAATCTACACACCGCTGCCTTGTTGTCGGGTCCATCCCAGTTGCGGGCCAGCACCAGGGTCACACGGATGTCGTTGTCTGCCGCAGCAGCCATCACGCCGTCCAGTGCCTCCAGAGCAACTTGGTTATACTTTCCTTTTACACGGTGATGAGAGGGGCCACCATTAGTTTGGATAGTCGTGATATAGCTGCATGAGATGTAGTGTATGCTTTGAAAGTACAATTTGCGGGTTGCGTGCTCGGATAACATTCAATAATGTGCCCGAGCAGCGGCCCCTTTTCAAGCCGTCGTGACCGATGTTACCCCACCTGGCTCCAGCTGGAGGGGCAGCTCCGGGGTAACACCCGTGGCAAACACGCGAAGCACAGTAATATTGAGTGCGGCAGCCTGCTGCATGAGGTTCTCCACGGCCTTGCCATCAGTGCCGCCCAAACCTGCCTGGGCCTCGAGCATGCGCCACCTGCGAAGGGCAGTACATCCGTCATCACGTAAGACTTCATGAACAGGGGATCGTGTGCCGGCAGTATGGGAACACCCGAAAGACCCCATCTTTCCGCATGCCACTCCTCACGTATTGGCTCCGACCCATGTGAACTCGCGGCATTCCTCATCCACGAACTTCCCGTCCGAGATGGAGATGAATGCGGCGGCAGGCTGCATCATGAGCCCCATCATGCCCATGATGGCGGCCAGGGCCATGCAGCATCGCGCAGTCATGACGTCGCAATATAACTAGCACGGGACCTCGAAACAAATTGGAAAGTAGTGTCGGAGCTGGGGGAGGCTCCTTCTTGTGGGTGTCGGGAGTCGTAGACGCGGTGAGCACCCTGTTGGCAGCTGCTGTGACCCTTCCACACATACGACAGCAGGAGCTGACTGCAGTACGCCCGGCCCCGGAACCGGGATCCGACGGATCTCTGTCGGACTGACTCACACGCAACTCTGTTACACACTGGAACCGCCTCAAGGTTTCTAGAATAGGGTTTGGGGCCACCCGCGGGCCTCATCACTCCTCGAACGGCTCAGGCTCGAGGCCCCTTGCCCCGCCACCCCTGGCTCCTCCATGCTGCTGCCTCTGGCGCTGCGACCTCAAGCCCCGTCAGGCGTGGCTGATGTCCAGGGCCACCCCCCCTTGGTGCACGGTCAGTCCCACGGAGACGGAGCCCTCGCTCCGCTCGACGCCGGCTGCGGGCTCGGAGACCGCGCCAGGCGCGACCTTGCTGCCGTCGACCCTGTCGGCAGGCACCGCGCCGCCATGGTCAGCCGCAGCGCCTGCCGCGCCAGCGCTGTCGTCGACAGAGGTGACGCCGACGCCCTCCTGGGCCGGGGCGGCGGCGACGGAGGCGTCGCCATTGTCGTCACTGGCGTCGTCGACCGGGGCGGACGCGACGGCGGGGCCATCTCCCATGCTGGGCCAGAACGACTCGTCCGCAAGGTCAGCCAGCTTGCCGTTGACCGCGGTCTGCTTGCCCCTCGCAGCGGGCTTTGTGGCGGGGTCGGAGGGAGGGGTAGGCGCTGCGGTGGCAGCCGCGCCCTCCGGGGCCGGGGCGGCGCTGCCGTCGGCCTCCGGAGTGGCCTCGGCCGGGGTCGCCTCGGCAGCGGCCGGGGGGCTGGCCTTGGCCTCCTCGCGCTTGGCCAGGAAGGACGCCTTCTGCTCCTGCACGCGTGCCAGGGTGCCCGGCACGGCGGCGGCGGTGATGGGCACCGAGATGGAGAGCGCGCCAAAGGCCTCCAGGATGTCCAGGGAGTGCGTCAGGCGCGCGGCCTCCGCGGCGGGAGCTGCGGAGCCTGCGTGAGGCACGGGCGGAGGCGTGAGGCAGCGGAGGACAAGGGCGGATGGTTCGAGGGGTGGGCTGGATCCAGCCCTGCGCATGACGCAGCCTGGACAAGTCCAGACTCGATCACCGTGACCCCTCCCGGCTGCCTGCCCTCTCGCATCAGCTCGCAAGGATCCCCGCCATGCACCCGGCCCTCGCCACTCACCCTTCTTGCCCTTGCCCTTCTTTGAGCCAGAGCCCAGGAACCAGGCATCCGCCTCGCTCACGCCCGCTTTCTGTGCGGCGGCGGAGGGGTGGATGAGCAGGACTCTGACGGGGGCACCAACCCTGTCCGCTGCCACAACCCCTCATCCACAAGCTGGTCCTCGAGGGGCGGTGCTGGTGCCGGGACCCGGACAAACACGTTCAGCCCCCTTCCCTCATCAGGCTGCCGGCACATTCGTCAATCCTGGCCCCCAGCCCTGTTGGGCCGACACAGATTGCCCACCTGGAGTGGCTTGAAGCCCTCCATCTCCTTGGGGGCCGTCTTGTGCACGGCCGCCACCTCGGCGGGCGCGGAGTACTTGGCCAGGTACTTGATCAGCTGGTCAGCCATGGTGATCTGAAGGAGTGGGGGTGGGAGGGAGGGAGGCGGGGGGCACGTCGATGGGACCCAGGCATGCATGCCGACTGAGGCAGCTGCACACGAGGGCGTCCAAGGCAGGCGTGTTCGGCATGGCAACTCGCCAGCGGAGCGAAGCTCGGCATGCTCCGCGCTGGCGGGCGCCTGCCCCGAGCTGTCGGGGCTCCTCAGGCATACACTCGTGCGTTGCTCCCAGGCATGGCCCTCAGCTGGACCCCACATCGCCCCCGCAACCCCACCCTCCCCGACATCCACCCCCCTTCTCATTTGCCGCGCCTGTCCCTCAACCCCACCCACCCAACCCGCCCCCCCCCCCCAACTATTCCCCCCGCCAACCTCCCCCCAACAACAAATCAACGCACCTCGCGGTCGTATGGCTCCGGCTGGTTCTCCAGGGCGCGGGCGGCCCACTCCGCGTCCCGCGCCTCACGCTCGCGCTGGCGCTCCTCGTACTTACGCTTGCGCTCCGCGGCGTCCTGCTCGCGCCATTCCGCGTTGGCCACCTTGTACGCCGCCCAGCGCTCGTCGTTCTCCGCGCGCAGCTCCTTGATCTTCTCGTAGGCCTGCTTGCACACCTCGCGGCACTGCGCCACCTCGTTCTTCCAGTCCGGGTAGGTCGCGCCCTTGGCTGCGGCCTCCGCCTGCAGCTCCGCCAGGCGCGCCTTCAGCCCGTCCTCCTCGGCGCGCAGCGCGGTCAGCGCGTCGCCCAGCCCCCGCAGCCCGTCCTGGAGGGAGGTGCGGGAGGAGTCGTCCGCCTCCAGCCGGCCCATGCCCGCGGTCAGCTCCGCCACCGTGGCGCGCGACTTGTTCAGCGCGCGGATGTCCTCCAGCAGCCGCTTCTCCTCCGCCAGGGAAAGCGTGGCGTGGGCCTGGCGGTGCTCCAGAGCCGCCACCTGTGCGTCGATGGCCTCCACACTGGTGAACTTCAGGTTGCTGCGCAGGTCGCGCAGGCCGGTGCGCACGCTGTCGCGCGACTTGGTCACGCTTTCCAGCTGGGTGCGCACCTCGCGCCGCTGGGCCTGCGCAACGGTGGGGGAAGCGAGGGATGCATGTCGGGGGGGGGGAAAGGGGAGGAGAGCCGCTTACACGGGGGAATGTGGAGGGGAGGCAACTCAGAAGCCTGGGCCCAGCAGAGAGGCGGTTGGCTAGGCGCCCGGCACGAAGCTCGGTTGGCTGGGCGCCCGGCACGATGCTCGGCGTGGTCCCGGGCCAATATTCACGAAGGAGGTCTGGCGGTCCTGTGCATGCCACTCGCCAGCCAGTTGCACCCCACATCCCACTGACATCACCCTCGCCGCTGCTCACCATGAGGGCGTTGAACTTGGCGCGCAGCTCGGCCAGCTTCGTCTTCACCTCCTGCAGCTCCCCAGTGTCCTTCCCCCTGCCCTCCCGGTGTGCCTGCATGAGATCCAGCAGCTCCGCGGCGCGCTTCTTGTGTGCGACGACTGCGGGGAGCCAGAGTGGGGATGTGGGAACCCGTCAGCCCACATGCTCAAGTGTCCACGTTAAGGGGCAGCTGGCACGCCTTCGCCTTTCCCCCCTCCGTGCCAGCCCCACGCACTGCTCTGCTGGAGGGCCTCCGTCTGCGACTTGTACTCAGCCTCATCAGGGCGGGTGGGCTGCTTCAGCCTTTTCTTGGGCGCCGTGGCGGTCGGCTCCACCGCAACCGCCTCGGGAACGGAGATGGGCTCCTCGGTGGTCATCCTGCCGCGACCCGAGTCCTCGTATGCCGGCGGGGATGGATGATCAGGGGTCTATTAATGTGCACGGATCATCTGGGCATCGAAGTCGATCTCTGGGTGGGCCTGGGGTTGAACGTCTGGTGCCGTACGAGGAGGGTACTGCGGCGCGTGGAGGACCCCGACGATGGCAGGGCGCAACGATAGTTCCTTTCAGGACGTGAATCGCTCCCGAGGCCAAAACTGTCGAGCGTACAACCAGACAAGGTAGTATATTTTGCCATACGTGAAAATTACGCACATTTGGTGTACACCCATGAAATCCCTGCATGCAACGACGCCGAGTGTGTAGTCTGACTTGTATCCGAGGATCCTGCCTGCGCGATGGCTCCGGCCGTGTCGCTCAGCCCTCCATGGTGTGCGCCATGCAACGCAAGTTTCAGAGCCTATAAGGCATTTGGTTCTGTTTGCATCTCTCACCCACGATGTACGATGGCTGGAGGACAGGGAGAACGATGCATGACTTACTTTGTGCCAACACTTCAGGCTGCATCAGCCTGCTTCTCACCGCTCCACAGCTCGCAGGCCCTGCCCCTCCCGGCAGAAGCATGGCACCTTTGCCTCTACGCATGAGAGCTCCTCGACAGTGGAGCCTGCCCCGGGGCCCAAGTCACAGTCCCTCCGTGCGGAGGCGGTGCAGAGCAACAACGAGGTCTATGACAAGGTCATCGAGGTGTTTGCGGACAAGAAACCGAGCGCTTGGCGGAAGCTGATTGCCTACAGCAAGCAGTGGCGGGGGATGGCCGACGGCATCCTGAAGAGGTGGGAGCCAGGGATAGTATCCGGGGCAACCTGGCCTGCTGACATCCAAGAGGGCAGGCAGGAATTCGGCGGCGGTGTGGATGGCGGCGCAGCAACGCCCTCCTGGGGTGCATGGTTGGGGGCACGTGGAAGACGGGATCCGGGGTGGCCATGCGGCGGCCGCTCGACGTATGCGACTGGGCTGCATCCCCCCTGGCATCGCCCACGGACCACCCCGCACCATGCCCTTGCAGGCTCGACATGCGCGCCGACGCCGCCTCGGCGCGCGACGCGGTGGAGGAGGCAGCGACGCTGCGCAAGCTCTCCCGCCGTCTGCGCGCTGTGCACGAGGAGCTGGAGCAGTACGTGAGCCTGGCGGAGGCCTTCCGGACACAGCCGCCGGGCGAGTGGGAGAGCATGGTAACCACGCATCGGCCCACGCTGACCATGGAGTTCTTCTCGCACCTGGAGCTGATGTACATGTGAGCCGCGGCAATCTTGGGGGGTAATGGTTATGTGTTTGGGATGGCTGGACGCGGGGTCGGCCTCGATAGTTCGGGCCACCCGTGGGTGTGTTCACCATCCCTCAGCGCCTGGGGAGCGTCGCAACATGCCGGAGCTGGGGGATGGTATTTGGACGGCCTGACTCCAGAGGCCCCCCCACCCTTTGTTACCCGGGCCGCCACCCCTTGTCCCACACACTTAGGGCGGCGGGGGCCTGGGAGGACGCGGCGGCGGCCAAGCAGGAGCAGGAGGCGCTCGCCACGCTGTCGACCAACCTGGCGGCCCTGGTCACGGCCCACGACAGCGTGCTGTCTGATGAGTCAGCGCTGGGCGCGGCGCGCGCCAGCCTGGCGGAGCTCCTCTCCGTCGGCAGCATGGAGGAGGCCGACGCCAAGATCGACAGCCTGGCGGCCTCGGGGCGGCTGGACCCCGCCCTCCTCCTCACCCTCGGCCGTGCCTACAACGGCGTCAAGGAGAGCGAATACACGCGCGAGGAGGTGCGTGGGGTTGCTTCTTCCCTGAGTGGGTGTCTCCCAAAGATTTTCTGAGTATGCTCGGAGGTTGCCGCGACCAGTGGTGCCGTGGGTGCGGTTGCCAGGGCTGCAGCCGCGCTGTGCCTTCGGCGGGTGCTGCCAGGCGTACGCGGGCCGAACTTGGTCCTGCCGCACTGGGGGCCAGCACCTGTACATCCACTCCTTCGCCGTGGCCCCTCTGCCACGTGCCCATTCCAAATCCCGTCGCCTCAGGTCAAGGACGTGATGGCCCACCTGTACTTCAAAGCCAAGGAGTCGTTCGCGGCGCAGGCGCCCGTGGAGGTCCGCATCCTGAAGCATCTGCTGTCGGTGGACAGCCCCTCGGACCGAGCGGTCCTGCTCGACCAGGCCTTCCAGCCAGGTGGGCTGACTGCTGGGTGCTTGCCTTGTGCGGGATTGATCAGGCACCTTTCTTTGAGGGGGGAGGGAAGGTCGGACTGAGCCTTCGCCTTGAACGCATCGCGGATGGCTCTCCCGTCCAGCCTCTAGTCTCTTCACCCCCAACTCCTCACACTAATCCCCCCTTTCCTCCCTCTTCAGGCGCCACCCTGGTGCAGAGCGGGGTGGACATGCTGAGCACCACCCCCGGCGCACTGCTGAATGCCATCGCCAACGTGCTGGCCCTGTTTGACAAGGCCACCCAGGGCGTGCATGTCGGGGACAGCAACCCCTCCAGTCTGGCCAGCCAGGCGGCGGCCATGATGCAGCCGGAGGTGATCGCGCGCATGCGCGACCTGGCCGCCCTCATCCGCAAGAAGTACACGTGAAGATCGTGGAGCATGTGAGGGTGGCATGGCGCTCGAGCCTTGCATTGTGTGTGCATGGAGAATGTGCATACTGGGTCTCAGTGTAAGCTTCAGGTTCAATCGTCGTCCGTTGGGGGGGGGGGGGGGGTCAAGCTTGGTAACGAATGTATTGAAAGCGCAGGACAGGTCACAGGATTCTTGCAAACACCCGCCCAAGCTCCGGTGTCTGGGTCCCCCGCCCCGCGACCAAGGCAGCCCGCTCGCCCCCTCAGCGCCGCCCGCCAAAGATGCTGGTGTCGACTACGATGCAGGCCTCGCGCAGGTCGGCCAGCAATGAGCCCCGATGCTCCGGCGGCACGGGGACCAATTCGATGCGGTACAAGCGGGGCCAGCGCTTGCCGGTGACAAACAGGCGCCGCCCCTGCGCGTCCCATGCGACGCCATTCAGCACGTCCAGCCGCGGGCCCTTGCGCTCCTCGGCGCTCAGCGAGCCCGCCATGTGGGCCGTGATGCCCTGATGCAGGGGTGGAATGGGAGGGGAAGTGGCTCTCAGCAGGCGCGGGGTGTCCTGGCCGCTCGAAGAAGGGAAGGATGTGCAGGGGAGAGCCAACCAACAGAGGGGGAGGGGATGGCTGTGCACCCCACAAGGGTGCCCCACCGTCTCCGTGCCACATGGCGTCTGATCACCCCCTGCTCGAGAAGGTGGCGCCTCGGCATGCACCTCTGACTCCCCATCCCCATCACACGCCCCACGCCGCAGCCACCACGCAGGACCTCCGCGGACACACACAGCCCCGGCCCCAACCACCCACCCACCCGCAGGTCCACCCAGGCCAGGACGCGGCCGTCGGCGGGGTTGACGCGCACGAGGCACTCCCGGCCCCAGATGTTGGCGAGGATGGCCCCATCCACCCACTCCAGCTCGTTGAGGAAGGGCACGGCGCGGCCGGCGTCCTGCACGGAGCGCTGGTGCAGGCGGGCCATGGTCCCGGGGTCGACCCAGGTGAGCGTGGGGGAGGAGTCGCCCAGGATCAGGCGCGTGCCGTCGTTGGTGATGCCCCAGCCGTCGAGGAGGGGGGTGGAGGCCAGGCGCGCTGCGCCCAGGTCCTCCGTGGCATAGACCCAGGCGCGGGGGGAGCGCCACGTCAGCTGGTACAGGCTGCGGGAGGGGAGGGGGGGGTGGGGCTGGTGAACCAGGGGCCTAGGGATGTTGTGGGGCTGCCTTGTGGCAGGCAGGGGCAAACCCTGGCAAAGACCAGGTGCCGGGCGGCCTGCTGTGAGCGCACCCTGCCACTGCGCGAACAGCAAAACCCCACAGTCCGGGTGCGCTCCGATCCACACGCCGCCCCGCACCTGTTGCCCAACTTGGTGATGCCCTCCGCAAAGTCCTGGGAGGGCAGCGCCCGGGACCTCAGCACCCTGCCGCTGGCAAACTCGACCTGCCGCACCTCCGACTCGCCGTACATACCTGGACGAGGAGGGGATGAGTGGGAAGTGGGGAGAGGCTCATGGGAAGGTGATCCGAGGGAGCCCCTGCTCTGTGCTGGGGCCTTGGCCCCTTCCCCCACTTGCCTGCCAGGCCGACCCAGCCACTTCCCAACAGACATCAACACGCAAGCACCCACCCACCACCCACCCACCCGTGGACTCCCAGAAGAAGTCGGTGCAGTTTCCCTCCTTGCTGCAGGTTCGGCCATACTCCAGACCCTGGGTGAAGGCCTTGGGGTCATGCCAGTGCTCCGAGACGATGCGGTACCGGAACACTTGGGGGGCTGCGGAGTGCGCGGCGGGTGCGGCAGAGGCCGGCCGGGGGAGGCCGGCACCCACCAAGAAATGGTAGGCCAAGGGGATGAGCAGCCCGGCGACCTATGACAGGATAAGGGCATATTGCAGTAGATATCGGTGATTGATGTGCGCTTGGGCGGCTAACAGTTCTCCCCTCGCAAAGAAAACATCGGCGCACCATCAACACTGCTGTTGCACGCCGGGTGATGCGCCACGCTGCTGCAGCCTTGGGAGAGGGAACTATTCTGTTCTTTGGCCTTCGACCCATCTCAGCGTCGGGTCCCCCGCATGCCGAGTGGTCCGGCATGGATCGCGGATCATCATGCGGCGAGGAGCATGCACGGCTGAGCTCTCCCGCAAGCGTCACAGCCCCCGCTCCGATCACTGTGATCGAGTATGTGCCGCGATCACAACTGTAACGAGCAGGACCAGGGCAGGGGAGTGCGGTATGGCGTGAGCTGTATCTTCCCGCTCCACTCCCTCACTCATCCGTGGGGAGGGTTCCCAAGACAGGTGGCGCGCCCGGGGGATAAACCCTGATCCACCAACCAGCGGCAACGCGGTATTGGCTGATCAGAGTGCTGACCCCATATACCGCAAGAAACGTGCAGGATCTGGCCATAAGAATCTCATTTTGCAGTAATCTTATTCTCAACGGCGGGTTGAACCCTGTTCAAGGCACCCTGTTTATCAAGCGGACGAGACTTTTTCTCCAGTCGCCGTCGTGAATGTGAGCCAACCCCGTGCGTTCGTGTGCAGACCTCCTGCTCCCTCGCACCAAATAGGCAATCCTCTCAGAATCCAGGGGTAATGGCATCATCGCCATCGGCCGCCTGTCTCCTGCTGGCCCTCGTGGTCTTGGCTGGGGGCTGGGTGGACGCTCACAGTGCAACCCGCAGACTTCTGGAGACCTCCGCCCCCGGGCCGTCCCCGGTGAGCACCGAAGTCGCCCCCGCCGACTGGTGCAATCAGTGTGGCAATGTCACCGACTACGAACCTGTCTGTGGCAGCGACGGCCAGGTAAACCAGGGCCGCGGGTTTTCTCGGAAGGATCCCCAGATGGGGAAAGGGAGGGAATCCGAATTTTGAATGAGTTTGCCAAGGGGGAGTGAGCGCACCCCGACCCCAAACGCTGAGTGACCCCTCCCACGCCCACAGACCTACGGCAACTCGTGCATCCCTTCGTGCATGAATGTGCGCATCGCCTACTCTGGGAAGTGCAACCCAGCTTGCTACCCGCCTGGATCCAGCGGTGCGGTGGCTGACACCCGAAGAGAACTGGGGTGGGGGGGGATGTGCATGCGTGACTCAAGCAAAGGATTTCAGACCAGTTTGCGCTGTGAAGTCCTTGGTTTGACGTTGCTGCTGCCATCCCCTGCACAGTCGAGGGTGATTGGAGCAGCGTGCAGCCCTACTGCGTCGTCGGCCTGACGTTCCGAAACCTGGCGGAGGCCACTTTCAACGGGTACCCCCAGGCCTGCTCCGCTCCCGGGGTGTGCGACTACGGCGATCGCGACGGCGAAGTCATGACCTACATTCCCACCACCGGCGGGAAGGGACTGAGTGAGTTTGAACTTGGTGGTGCTTTGAGGGGTGTGGTACGTTCAGCAGGGATGTGTGTGCAGGGCAGGGAACTGGACGACAGGCAGCGGCTCCGCCACTTGATTCCCGTTCCCCGTATTCCAATCTTCCACCATATCAGGTGTGACCGCCGCTGCGGCCAACACTGCCATGCCATCGGGATCCGCACCGGCCCCGTATGACTATGTTGAGGCCCTGTCCAAGGTCCTGGTTTACCTGGACGGCCAGATCTCTGGAAAGATCGAGCCCAAGGCCCAGCGTCTGACATGGTGAGCAATGGGGCTGGGTGACCCCAAGCTGGTGCTCTTGAGTGGATTCTTTCCCTCTTTGCATGCATAGCAGTAGTGGGTGACATCAGCGGGTAGCCACATCCAGTGAGAAGGATAGCCTGCGTTGCAGCATGCCAAATGTCCCATGTCAACCAAAACCCCATCCTGCACACCCCTCCCAGGCGCGGCGACTCCTGCCTGACCTGCAAAGGAAAGTATGGCGAGGACCTTACTGGCGGGTATTACGAGTCCGGAGGCTCCAGCATGAAGATGAGCGTCGTTCACAATTTCCAGGTGGGCAAGAAGAAAGGAAGGACACCGAATGTGGTAGGGAAAGCGTTCAACGCCCATCAGGGAAATGTAATCTCAACCTCGAGATGTACAGACGAGAGTAAGCTGCCTTTTGCGTTGTGCTCGTTGAGTGCATCTGCATGACTGGGCTCTTTTACCCCACCCCAAACCCTGAGACTCCGTTGCCATGCCAGGTCTCCCTCATGGCTTGGGCGGGTGTGTTCTTCAAGAAGGGTTTCCAGGCGTCTGGGACCATGGACGAGCTCAAGTGGAAGGTCAAGCATGGCGCAGACTACCTGCTCAATTCCCTCGTCAGTCAGGACCCCTGCATCTTTGCCGGCGCCAACGGCAATTCCACACAGTACGTCCATACAGGCAGCAGCGGCATGACTGCCCTGCCGTGGGGAGCCGGACATGTGGCCACATGGCACCCACCAGGCCATTGATCTTTCTATCATGCCATTCATATCAGCCCCCATATCCCTCACAACCTGTCTCTCTTATGATACCACCAGGGATTTTGACAACTTCTCACCCCTGGAGTACTACGAGCAGTATGTGGGGCCCCGCCCCACCGGCTACTTCACCGCTGGCGATCCGGGCAGTGAGGCCACTGGGGGCGCCGCCGCCGCCCTGGCAGCTGCCGCCTACCTGCTCAAGAGCGACATGCCAGAGTGGTACAGCGTGAGTGGCAGAGTGGGGAAGAGAGAGGAGGGACCCCGGCGACATCCTTTTACATGTGTTGTGGCTCATCATGTGCGACTGGATAGGATGCCCTGGTCCATCCCGATGCTGTGCGCCAGATCCCACACCCTTTCCTCCCCACCGCCACCCCACCCGCCAGTCGACCATAGCGAAGGCCACTGCCCTGTATGAGTTTGCCTCCACCAACCCCAAGTCTTTCAAGACGTCCTCCGACCCAGTCATCAAGGTGTGTTGTTGCGGGGAGTGTTTTTGGTCTGGCTGGATAGAAAGAATATGAAGGAGAGAGGAGCATTAGATCGCATAGGATTCACTTGTGTGATTTCTGACGAGCAATGCATTTGCGTCACCGTGTTTGATCCCGTCAATCTTCTCAAACCATCCCATCCTCCCTCCTTTCTCTGCACGCAGCTCATGCAAGCCCTGTATGCGACAGACGGTGACTACCATGACGAGCTGACGTGGGCCGCTGCCTGGCTGTACAAGGCAACCGGGAAGAAGAAGTTCCTGAGTGAGGCCGAGAAGTGGTGGGCGCAGTCTACCTTCCACAACACGCTGGAGGTATGCTGGGAGGACTTGGGTGGCGTGGGCTGTGGGACTGCAGGATTTTTGAGGGAGATCAGGTTGAGGGTTGAGGTGGTACAGGGAGGCTGTAGAGGAGCCTGTGGCTTGCAGGGGAGGCTGATTTGGTCTCAAAGCCTGTGTTGGTCAGTCTGGCCAGCCGTAGCTGCAGTGCAGGCCTTGCATACCTTTGCCTGAGGGAATTTTGGTTCTGCACACGAAGATTGAGTCCAATTAGGAGGGCGGCCCACAGTGCGATGACGCCGCCAGGAGTCTCAGTGCAGGCATCTGTTGGGATTGCCCCACCTCGGACCCTTCCCTGTCTCCCCGCGACACATGATAAAAAACACCCCACCACCCCATCACGACCCAGGTCTGGAACTACTACGGCGCCAACGCCGTCTTGCTCGCCTCTCTGGACCCCGGCAATGGCGCCTACGCCGCAGGCGCTCGCCAGTTCTTCGACCAGTACCTGACCGGCGCGATCGGGCACACCCTGGGTGGCGCGGCATACCCCTACCACTGGTCCTCCAACATGCACGTGGCCAATGTGGCCATGCTGGGTGCCATGCACGCCGATGCCATGGCGGCGGCCGATGCCGGCTACGCCGCGCGCCTGCTCAATTACGCCCACTTCCAGGTCGACTACCTGCTGGGCGACGTGGGGCGCAGCTGGATCGTGGGCTTTGGCAACGACTACCCCACCTACCTCTGGCACAAGCCCTCCTACTTCTCCACCTCCACCTGGACCGAGGCCATGGGGGAGAAGTTGTGGACTGGGCGTGACGTCGGGCCCTGGTCCTCCAAGCAGACAGGGACCGACAAATTCCTGCAGCGCGGCCAGATGGTCATGATCTCCAGCCTGCAGCCGCAGCCGCACATCGCCTACGGCGCGGTCTGGGGCTCGCCGCTGTACAACGATGGGCTCATCGCCAGTCGCAAGGACTACACCTGTGAGAGTCGGCTGGGGAGTTGTCGGAGGGAAAGGAGAGCTTGGGGCTGATCACACCGGGAGTGCGCAGCCCATGGGGCAATGGATGTTCTCAACCTGCCTGCATGGGCATGGAGCTGCTCAGCTCAACCAGACCGGCCACATCGCAAACTTTGTGCTGGGGTGCCCTCGCCAGACACCCCATTCACACTCACACTCGCACAAGTACAATCCTTGGAACCCACCCCTCCCTCGACACCCTCGCCAGATGCGGAGCCATCCAACCCCGCCAACACCGCCATCGTCGGGGCGCTGGCCCACATGGTCCAGTTCTACGGACTGCAGGGCCCCTACACCGGCGACATGGACGAGGTACTGGACGTCGACTACTCCGACCTGCTCTCCAGCGCCTGACCATGCCCCGGACCAGGTGTCGCGTGACCCTTTCAACCTCGGCGAGTATCGGACCGCGCCCCGCTGAGAAACGCCGGGCTTGCCACCCTGCCCGCCGCCGAGACCCTGTTCCCCCTCCCATGTCCAAACCCCTCTGTTCACCCCGTCTTCATGCCCTTATCCTCTGGCTGGTGCCCCCATCGCGACGTGTATCCATGTAAAAACTGGACTGTGACGACGGCGGGCGGCGAGGCGAGGCATGCAGGATTAGGCGCTGGGCGCTTTGCCAGTGAGGTGCCTGGGTCTGAGGCGGATTGGCATTCCCCGCAGGGGCCGGGCCAGGGGGATGTAGTGCCATGCCTCCGCATGGTCCAAGAACTCGACGTCGTACCTTGCAAAATGGGGAGGGGACTGTGTGCAAGGGATGCCAGCGTGAAACGTGATCGCATAGCAGCGCCCAACACCCCGCCTCCAGGCTCGCACACCTTCGTGTCAGCAGGGCCAGGAAGATCTTGAGCTCCGCCATGGAGAGGAGGTTGCCCAGGCAGAGGCGGGGCCCGCCCCCAAACGGCATCCACGCGGCGTCCCTGGATGCCTCTGGCGCCATCCACCGCTCTGGACAGAAGGCCAGAGGTTTGCTGCCCTCAAACCTGCCACGGTTCGTCGGAGAGCTGTCAGGTGACCATCAGGCTCCACGCCCAGTGCTGGGCCCTGGGTGCGGGTGCTGAACACCACCACCCGCTGGCACCTCTGTCTGGTGCATGCTCTTGTGTTGGGCCACCGTACTATCCACGCACAGCGCATTCCAGTCCTACCCTCAGCTCCGCCCACCCCATCCCCGTCACTGCCTCCCAAACAGTTTCTCCCTTCGAGCAACTTTCAACAGCCGCCCACCTTGGATCCAGCTGCATGGTGGAGCGCAGGCCAGCCACCACCGGCTGGCCGGGTCGCACCCAGAATCCGCCCTCCTCAAAACCCTGGATGGCGGTGCGCGGCACGATGGGCACCACCGGGGTCCTGCGCATGCTTTCTTTCACCCAGCCTTCTGCCAGGGGCATGGCTGCCAGGGCTGTGGGGGTCAGCTCCTCCCCATGCTCCGCAATTACTGCTGCCTGCGGCTTGCATGCATGGAGGGGTGTCGCGTCATGAAGGCAGCATCAGGGCCTCGCATGCCGTTCTTGCTAGTGCGCAAGTGCACTCGGCACAGAACAAGGATCTACCACAGGCGCAGCGAGCCCGCTTACTCGTACACATGCACATTCACCTACACAGGAGGTTCCCCCTCGACCAGCCTGCCTGCTCTGCACGCAGGGCCTGCACACCCTCTGGGTGCTTCCGCATCTCCTCCAGCAGGCACAGCATGGCAGTGGCGCTGGTGTCATGCCCGGCAAAGAGCAGGGTCATCACGTTGTCCAGGAGCTCCAGGGTCGAGTAGGGCACCCCCCTTTCATCCCTGGCGTCCAGCATCACCCTGATGGCACAGAACTCTGTCCCGCTGCGTGATGCCTCGATGCTTTCGAGCACCATCTGCGCATGGGGAGGAAAGTACTGGGGCTCCAGCATCACATGGGGAATGCAAATGGTAAGGACTGTTCATCAGAGGGTTGAGCTGTCCGGTCCCCTTGCAATTTTCCGAGCCACCTTGAGTGCTGACCCATTCTTCCACTTCACGCAGTGCTACATCAAATCTCGACCCTCCACAGAAAAGATACAAGGTCTACCTGATCAAGGGCGGCTCGTGCCTTGCGGGCCTTCCCGAAGCGTGTCCAAGACAGGTCTATGCGCCAGGCAAACAGGCCCTCCAGCCACGTCGTCACGAGGCGCTGGAAGGCAGGGAACGCCTCGGCCTGCATCCAGGGCCCACCGGTCCCCGCGATCACGCCAATGGCGATCTTCAGGGCCAGCGAGTTCACCGCTTTATAGGCTAGGACAGGGTCTGCCGAGCCGCACCAGGCCTCCAAGGCCGCCGAGGTGGCGCTGGAGATGAAGGGGTAGTAGCCTTGCACCGCCCGAGGGGTGAAGGCAGGGAGCATCATGCGCCTGTTTGGGTGATGGGAGAAAGAATGGAATCCTGCTGGGTGCACAGAAAGGGCAGGGTTGATGGTAGGATGAATCTCTGGATATCAATTGCATCCGTCCATTTAACCTGAGGCGGGCATGGTCTGGCCCTGCCAGGTTCGACAGGGAATGCCGGCCCAGCAGGGCGGCGGTGGCTGGCGGCCACTGGGACCGCACGAGCTGATCTTCGCCCTGAAGCACTTTGCGCAGGTTAGCAGCTCCTACATCGTAGGTGGACATCAGATTATTATTTTATGAAGAAGTGAGCTCGCAGATGGGGCCATGGAATCTCCAACACTGTGACGCATGCGATGCGCTACGCACCCGAAACGAATACTGTGCTCCGACCGAGGAAGGAGCGGACATACACAGGGCCGCCATGAAGATGTGAGCGCCTGGTCGAGTCAGGAAGGTTACCATGTATGAGCGCAGGAATGGCAGCATCAATCCAAAACGGCCGGGGAGGTGGCGGGGCTGCTCCAGGGGGAGCAAGGAAGTGCCAGAGCATCAGGAGGCCGACCATGCCGACAGCGATCCCTGTCAATGCGGTGCTGAGCGGAAGCCATTCGAGCCAGCATTGCAAACCGACGCTATAGATCGCCATCGGAACTCCATTCAAGCCTCATCGTCGGTGCCCGGCATAAATCACAAGGCACGACCCGGCGTCATACTATCGTGCTCGTGGCCGCCGGTATTCCCGGCGCAGATTCTGCCCGACGATGACCCTGGACCGATGCACCATAGCAGATATCGATTTTGGATTATTGCAACGGCGAATGTCATGAGTATTGGTTTTGGGGAGCACCTCGTGGAGGATCCATCATATATGCCAGATAGCCCTGGCGCGTCAGTGGGAAAGTAGCATTCTATTCGACCTCGCGGCTGTCATGGGCAACGCGCGCGAATGCCGATCAGCTTCACATGCAGCTATTCACTCTCGGAGTAGTATAATCTACACTATGTACCTGGATGCACGGCACCCCAGGCAACCGGGGGGGCGCTGCCGAGCACTTCCACAACCTGCAGACGCTCACCGATGAGCTCCTGGAGCATGTCCTGTCTCGATGCTCTGTCATGGACATCTGTCGGGTGTCAAAGGTGTCGCGACGTCTGCGCGATGTGACCTGGCGCTCCGAAGTGATCTGGGCGGAGCAGTGGAGCCGGACCTACCCTGGCCTTTCTCCACCCCCAGAGGACCAGGAGGTGGCGCGGACGGACGATGAACATGCGACAGGAATGCGAATTTCCTCCTCGTACATGCTGCGGGCCTTCCGGGAGCAGTGGACCAGGAGGAGCAGGGACGCCGCTGTGGTCCGCAGAGCACGGAGGGCTGCACGGGCAAGCAAGGTCCAAGTCTTGGAGCAGGGGGTGCACCGACTGCAGCGAGCCGTCCAGGCCGAGCGTGCTCTCCTGGCCAGCCTGCACGAGCAGCTGCACGGCCTGTCGACATCGAGGCGTGCAGGATTGTTGTTATGTCTGGGTGGTGGTCCAGGATCTGGATGGGCATGCAAGGATACGAGCCCATCCCAACAAGGATGTGCCAACAGGGGGCATGGACTGGGTCGACAGCCTGATGCCGATGTTACTAAAGACAGCATGCCCTACTACTCCGCCCTCTTCCATGGTGCGCAGGAGCATGCAGCGGTCCAGCCATCAGGCTGGCGTCCTGTGGCATCCCCATGCGGTTCAGCAGGGCTTGCAGCGCGTCACGGAGCAGGTCCCTCTGCGGGTGCGCAGGGCCATGCATCGCGGTGGCAGCCCTCGCACCTGCCACCCCTTCTGGCCGTGGAGCATGCTCGTCGCGAGGCCCGCCCCAGTGTCCTCCCAGTCCCCGTGCAGGCGGAGGAGGTGGAGGCGAGCCTGCAGCAGCGCCTCCGCGAGTCCCGGCTGGAGCTCTCCAAGCTGTCCAACCAGCTGGGGGCCGAGACGCGGCGCCTGAGGGCCGCCCACGCCAAGCTGGCCCAGCTGCTCCCCTGAGAGGTGTGGGCCATCCTGGGCACGGGCCATGCCAGGCAGTGTGCTGCGGCCTGCGACACGCATGGCGCTCATGCAGTCAGCGGCGATTAGAGCATGTGGAGAGTGAAGTCTTTACAGAAGCTACATCAGGCTGTCCCTGCCTGCACTCGCCTCCTTGGAACACAATGCACGGCGCGACTGTCACAGGGAGTAGCGACCATGACTGTTCTGCCTCAGCCAGTCCAGGAGGCAGGGTCTCAGGGACATCACACTTGCTCGGTCAAGCATGTCAGATGTGGAGCAGGCCGTCGGTCACATGCGACCCCGGCGCCGGTGAGGCTTCGTTGCCTGTGCGGCCCGCAGCAGCCCTGTCACCCCCCGCCCTATTCGCCTCGGGCACCTCGTGCCGCAACGGCGTAGCCGCGGGCGTGGCCGCGGCCGAGCCCCAGCCGCCGCGGTGCCCCGTGGAGGGCGGCCGGGCGAGGCCGGCGTAGCTCGCACGCAGCGCGGCGTCGCGGTGCTCGCCCGGCCTGGGGCGCTTGCCCCCCGCCCCGCCCAAGCTCCCCGCCAGCCGCCTGGCGGCGCCGGACAGGGGCGTGGCGGCGCCCCGCCTAGGCCCCGGCGTGCGCTGCGCGACCAGGCGGGCCAGCGCCCCGGAGGGCCGCGGCGGCGCCCCCGCCCGCCCGCCCGCCGCCGGGGCGGACCGCTGCGCCAGGTCGCGCCCCGTCTGCTCGCGCGCCGACGACTCGCGGATGTGGAACTTGGCGGCGCCTGCGGGCGCAGCGCAGAGGAGGAGGAGGAGGGGGATTGATGGTGGAGGTACTGTACATTCCACGGGTGGCTGGCCAAACGGCGCGGTGTCGAGGATGGCAGCATGGCAGCGCAGGATGCAGCGACGAGCGACGTTCCACGCAGCACCGGCTCCCAGCGGCCATCCAGCGTCGGCGTTCATGGCTCGGAAAACATAAACTTGCTCCCGCTTCGACATGAATAGACCATGGCCCGTACCTGCATTGAGATCCCCTGCAGGCAGGTCCTCTGCCTCGATGCGCAGGGGCGTGGCCTGGATGTCGCCCCAGGTCATGAAGGGCGTGGCCTCGCCCGGGTCAAAGGAGGGCGTGGCCAGCACGGGGTAGGACAGGCCGTCCACGCCGACAAAGGCGGCGCCGTGCAGCGACCCAGGTGACCCGGGCTGCGTCCCGGTGGCGCTGGAGGCGGGGGTTGTGTCGCCGCAGGAGGAGAGGGCCTGGGGACCCGGGAACCGCGTGTTCCGGTGCTTGATGGCCTTTGGGGGACCCTGGACCTGCGCCGCCCGCTCCTTATCTGTGGATAGGGTGTGGAGGGGAGGAAAGGGGGGGGGGGCCCCCGAGGAATGTGTGGAGCAAGGGAGGTGGGACTGGTGGTGAGGGGGCTCGGCGGGGAACCTAGGGGATGTGAGTGAGGGTTGCTGCAGCGGCATTGCAGGGCAAGGGGAGACACAACTTCTCAACATGACGAAGAATCCTCACCTGAGAGGGCCAGGGCATCCCGCTGGCTCCCATCGTACATGAGGGCGTTCCTGGGCTCGTACCGCCACTGCACGAGGCGGTCGGAGGGCTGCCCCCCCGTTCCGAACCCGTCGGTCGGCCGGGGACCCGCGGCGGATTTGATGGCCTGTTCCCCAGACCCCGGCGGGGCGGCAATGGCGGCGTACGCCTCCGTCCTCCTCCCATTCTCCGTGGCCAGCAGCGCGGCGAAGGAGGCGTTGTCCTCGCTGGTGTGCGCGCGCATGAAAGCGTCCAGGGACATCGCAGGGGCCTGGGCGGCGCCGGACGCCGCGCGTGCGCCGCCTGCGCCGCCGTGGAGGGTGACCGGGGTGGACAGGTCGCCGGTGGGGGTGGGCAGGTCGCCAGCCAGGACGCGCGCGCCCGTGCCACCCGGAGTGAAGAGGGGGCCCGCCCCCGTCGAGGTGCCCGGGCGCAGGCCCGCCCGCCGGGCCGCAAAGGCCACCTGCGCCTCGCGCATTCGGGCCGGGTCGCCGCTGCGCACGGCCTGTGGCGTGGGAGTGGGAGTTTAAAGTGGTCTGAGACACGTGTGTGTGTGTGGGGGGGGGGGGGGGGGGGTTGTGGT